AGGGGAGGCGGAAGAGCCCTAGGAGACCCCCCTGCAAGACTTGTGAGCCGAAAAAGGCTAATTGTTACAGACAGATGAGCCCCCCCAGCCTATCAATAATTCAGCCCCGAGAAGTGCTGGAGCATGTTGGATTAATAATGGATCAGGCAGCTGGGGCCCTTGGCTGGGCCTGAGTCCTCTGTCGTGGCGCTGGGGCCTGTGGGTGCCTTTCAGCTCCAATTAGCCGACCCGAGGTGACCAGAGGGAGGTCACGGGGGCACCTTGGGGTGGCTGAGGGAGGTGAGCAGGTGTGGGGGGCACAGGGGGCTAGCAGATGCCTCCTTGATGGCAGCAGCAGGAGGAGGAAGAGGTGGTGGTCGCTCTGCGGCCCCCGCTTCCCTGCCTCCTGAATTGGGCAGGGGGGAAATCTTTGTGGGAAGCCCTCCGCCCAAAGCCCACCATAATGAGGGAAGGGAAAGGATGCAGGGCCCTCGCTGCGTCCCTGTCCTCAGGCTTAGATCCGAAAAGGCACAGCGCTAAAGGAAAACGGAGCAGGAGGGAGGAGGAAAGAAGCAAACTCGGGGGCCGGTTCTTAGCTCAGAGTGCTGCAAGGGGCCAGCAGGGGGAGGAACTTGGGAGTCAAGCAGCACTGGATTTAGGGCGGCGGGGGGGTCTTCTGCACAGGGCACCAAGCTGAGGGGGTGCAAAATAACACCACCACCTATATTTATACGGGTACCTACTCAAAGTTAGGTCCTGGTCAGAAAAACAGTGCCTGCACCAAAAGGAATTAATATGAAAATAATAAATATTGAGGGGCGGGGGCACCAAATTTTGCCCTCACTCAGGGCACCATATTACCAAAGTCTGCCCCCCGAGTCAAAAACATGCTGCCCAAGTTTGATTATTTTCTCCTCCCTCCTATTCTATCCTCCTTTTGTGCCATGTCTTTTTAAAGATTTAAATTGGAGGGCAAGGACCATCTTCCTTTCGCTCTCACCAAGGCTTAAAATAAATAAAAATGGCTTTTGCAACCTTGCTCCTTGCCGCTTGGCCTTCGCCTGCCTTGCAGGGTGTTGTGGGGAATAAATGAGGCGGATGGGGGCGAACCCTGCCCCCTCCCCTCCCTGGAGCTCCTTGGAGAGGAAAAGGCCGGAAAATCAATATGATTGATTGATTGATCAGCAATATCATGGGGGAGAGTATTTGATCGCGTGGGGTTTAGCTCTCTGCAAGAAACTTGGCACAATGGGTAAAAGTAGGTTTGTGTGTCTTCAGGTCTCACCCAATTCCTGTGAGTGTTCTCTGTCTTAACTGTTTTTAATTCTGAATTTTAAATCAACACAACCTGCCCTGGGCCCTGCTAGTGAAGGGCCAGTAAGTAATTATTCCATTAAGCATTACTGTTATGATTACTATTTGGTGTTCTTGTTGATACTATTATTTTTATGTAAGAAATACAATACAACCGAGCATGTTCCTCTTCCTCCAGCCAGAATTTTGGGCTTTCCGTCTTTGGTTTATTATTGCTTATTTATTGTGTTTGCAGCTCATCTTTTCCTCCAGGGAGCTCAAAGGTTCTTGCTCTCTCGTAATCCTCACAGTACCAACAACCGCAATTTTATGTTGTGCACCACCCTGAGATCTACAGGTGTAGGGCAGAGTACTAATTTGAGAATAATAATAACAACAACAGCGACAGTAGTAACAATGAAAGTAACAACAGCCCTATGGTGTAGGTTTGGCTGAGCTTCAGCCGCAAGCTGGAGTGGGGCTCTGAACCTCGGTCTCCCGGGTCCCAGTCCAACGCTCCAACCACTGCGCCACGCTGCCTCTCCCCTGGGTTTCCTCCCACCCATCCACCCCCAGGTCTCCCTTACAGTCCAGGCATCCAGACCAGGAAAAGGGCTGAGTCAGCTGCCTGGACTTATGGAAAGTGTTTTTCTTGCCCTAGCAGATCAATGGGGCTGCCTCTGGCGCTGTCCCTCCCACTTAGCCGCGTCTCGGGAGAGACGTAAACTTGGCCTGGCCTTTTCTTCTGCTGACTCTCCCCGCCTCGGTCTGGTGCCTGCAGCTGGTTACCGTTTATTTCATATTTTAAGAGGCATTTTGCCTTACCCTCCGTTCTAGGGCAGAGAGCTGTGTTTAGTCCTGGGGGTGGGCAGGATGCACTCTGCACATGCCTAATGGCGCTCTCGCCAGTGTGCAGAGAGGGTCAGACTAGGACCTGGGAGGGACCAGGGTTCAAATCCTGCCCAGCTCGCAGGGTTGTTGTGGGGATTCAGTGAGGAAGGAGAATGAATGCATGTTTATTATGACGGCTAAACAGCCAGCATAGTAAAATTCAGCATAATTTTTACATAAACATTAAAACAGTGAAATTTAACAATCAATATACTAATTTAAATAGATTTAAAATATGTATCTGAGGAAATATAAAGTCCATTAAAAGTTTTTTAAAAATAGAAGAATTTGACTGTGAGCTATGTCAGATTATGACTATTTGGGGAGCAGGGTCACCTTTTGCTTTCTTTGACATTTCTGGTGACCTGGGGATTCTGGTCAGACAGGAGGTCACTTAAACACCATTCCTCCCTCCTCTCTGGTCCTTTTCGTACAAGCGGCCTCATGAGAGAGGCTCTGATATCTGGTGAGGAGGGAGAAAACCCTGAACTTTTGTGAAAACCCTGAACTCCCCTTGAGCTTCGCGGAGGAAAAATTGGGATTTAAAGATATAAAATACAGTCCTAATACAGAGCCAGTGTGGGACTGACCCCTGCCTCTCAGCCTCACTGCCCTCGCAGGGCTTTTGTGAGGGTTAAATGAGAAGCAGCGTATGCCACCTTGAGACAAAGATGGGGAATAAAGGCAATAAATGCAATAATAAAATAAACAATACCGCACTATTGTCAGTTGTGAGTGCTGGAACCCACGTGGAGTCCTAAAGGTTATAGCAATGTCGCCAGGATGAATTTCTGACCAGCTTTGCTTTGGGGATGCAATGAGGAAGGGGAGAACGGCGTCACATGTTACCTTGAGCTCCTCGGAGAAAAGGGTGAGGCAGAGGTTTTTAAACAGAGGTCTGCTGGCCGCCTGTCTGCGGGTTGAGCTAGATGACCCTTGGGGAACCCTTTCAACTCACAATTCTGTGATTCTCTAAATGCAATAACTAAGACTAGGCCTTGGCTCTGTCCAGTGACAGCGCCTTTCTCCCAGCCTAGAGGCTAGTAGGAAGCGGCATAATTTTGTTGCTTGCCGGGGGGGGGCACACACCACATTTTGCAAAACGGGTTTTGGGGTGAAGGGTGGGGTGAGGTGAAAGGAAAGGCTGGGTGCCCAGGCAGCCCCCCCCATGACTCCCCACATAAGCAAGCAAGAAGCCGCTTTTGCAGTTGCAGCCACCGAAGGGCCATCCGGGGGCCATAATTCTGATCTCTGCCTCTTTTCACCTTGAAGTGACAGGAAGCCTTCTTGGCGCAATGCTTTGGTTTCTATGGAGACGAGGGTCCTCCAGGCGATGGGATGGAGCCCGGCTGAATTGCAGGGGGGGGGGGGAGAGACGTGGAGGTGAGGCAAGCAGCTGGTCTTGGGTCAAAGTGGGGTGCGCTTGGCACAGCTGCACATTATCCTCCTTTTCGTTTTGCCAACTGCAGTCAGGGATTTGTTCCAGTAACGCAGCACCTGTTTCAGATGCCAAAAGGGAGCTGCAGACTGCGTAGAAATTATTGTACATGCATTCACTCCCTCCCCCGCTGCACCAACTGCAGTTAAATCTGTGGTTCCTGAAGCTGGGATGAACTGACTTTATTGTCGTTTTTGCTTTGCATTGGTGTACCTTTTATTTTTATAATACTGAATTTGTTCTGCGTTTACTAAATCGTTGGTTTTTGTTGTTTGTAGATTCACTGGCAGGCTCTTCATTTTGTACATTTGTATTTCCAGTGCTCTCAACTTGGATGTTTTGAATGTTTGCTGTGAGCCTCTTTGGGCTCAGCTCATTCTGGGAAAGCAGAATATAAGTAAAATCAGTCAATCAACCAACCAACCTGGTTCCTCCTTAAAAAGCTGAAAGAAAGAGGTTTTCTAAACATAAAAAGCCAGAGGCAGAGACATCAAAATGACTGTTTCTTTTTAAGAATTGGCTCAGAAGTCCACTTAGCTCTGAATAGAACTTACCCAGAAGGACCAAGGCATGATGGGAATATCCCCACCTCACTCTGAAATCCCCAGCATCTGGTAGGCAGGCAGAGGATTGACGCCAAAAACCCCCACCACACATTTAAAGCACATCCAATGCACTTGTCATCTCTCCCAAATAATCTGGGGAACTGTAGTTTGTTACAGGCTCTGAGAATTAGAGCTCTGTGAGGTCTAAACTACAGCTCCTGGGATGCTTTGGGGGACGTCATGTGCTTTAAATGTGCACTGGGTCTGCCCAGGGTCACTGAGGCACCAGATATCAATGCAGCATGGAGCATGAATGTACAGTACGTCTCTGGGTTGGTTTGCTTGCTTGCTTGCTTGCTTTAATTTTACAACTGCTAGTTGCTTTGAACTGCAGTTTGTTAAAGGCACTACTCCAATTCCCAGTGTGGTTTAACAGCCAGTCTCTCTTCCCAGGGAGCTCCGGGAAGAGGTCTCCTAACCATTCTCAACACTCTTAGCAAACTGTGGTTCCCAGGATTCTTTGGGCGAAGCCAGGACTGTTTAAAGTGCTTTCAATGTACAGTGCAGATGTACAGTCTGAATGCACAAACACTCTGAGCTATCTATGCCTCACCCCAGGGCAACTGTTTGTGCACCCCCTCAGTCCTGCCTGCTCTGACTAGCAGCAGCTCCCCAGGATCTCAAGCAGAGAGGAGGACTTCCACACCCCCTGCCAACGGATCCTTGTTAGCTGGAAAGACCATAGGCTCACCTGGGGACCCTCTGCATGGAAAGTGGCTGCCCCCACCCTGGGCTCCATTCCCCTCCTCACAAGGAAAGAGGCCTCTCAGTGAAGAAGGGACAGACAGGGCCGTGTGGGTGGAGGAGTTTAATGCAAAGGCAACACCATCGTGGTGAAGAGGAAGGGAGGAAATATATTGCACCAGAACACAGGACAAACAGAGGGAACAGGCCCCCTCCCACACGAGATGCCCAAGGAAACATGGAATAAAGATGGCAAAAATAGCTTGGAAGGGAGGGAGACGACAAACGCCCCAGGCTGGGACGGGAGAAGCCTCAGTCCTGGGCCACAAATAGCTCTTGTGCTGCCTGCATGCCCAACGTCCAAAGCAGCAGCCCCCACATCTCCCCTGCACCATGAGGAAGAGGAAAGGCGTCACACACACCCTTCAGTGCATTGAAAGCTTCCTTCTCTTTCCTGCTCCATTATCCTGGAGTAGCAACAATTACGAGGCAATCCAATCACCATCTTACTCTATTTGAAGCAAAAGCGATCAAAGGGTCTTGTGGCACCTGGACGGCTAACAAATGCATCATGGCGCAAGCTTTCATGGAGTCAAGCCCACTTTGTCAGATGCCCTTCTGCCTTCTCCGTGGGGAAGGTGGGTCAGTCCCGATGCAAAAGAGCAAATGAGCCCTGATCTAGCAGCAGGAATGGCAACAGCCAGTTCTTTTACTCTAGGGGAAAAGTTGGTACTGCCAGCACAAAAAGAACTGGCAAGATCCATCAAGCAGAGAGGACTCTGCAACTGCCCTCAAGGTTGCCCATTATATAGAACAAAGGAACATCAAAGGAACCATATAGCATGCCATGACTTTGAGTTAAATAAAAATGTTGATTAGTATTTTGTGTTAATTAGCAAATGGTGTTCATTATCTTACCAATGCCACACTACCTGTGCTATCAGTGACTGTTTCTTGGGGATGTTTCCTTGCCCAACTCACAAGGAATTAGAAACACACACACACACACACACACACACACACACCTTGAGAACAGAGCATTTTAGAGCTGGTTATGTCATCAAACTCTTGCCAGCTTCCTTGAAAATTTCCAAATGATGACCACTGCAGTCTGGGATGGCTGCTACAACAGGTCCCATAAACAGACAGACCCTGTGTTTGCAGTCAGCCTCAGGTGGAAGGCATCACTCCCCATCTGCTAGCCTGCCCCTTATATAGAGACCCAAGAGATCACTTTCTGTAGAGAAAGAAAAAAGGGCATTTTCAAGAAAGAAGGGCATTTTCGCTGGCCAGGTTTAATTCAAATGCATCCAACCTCCTTTGGGGAAGGTTCTCAGGCAAGGTGGAAGGAGAAAGAACTTGCCCATGTGAAGACCACCTGGTGGAAACCCTCACACACATGGTTCTCAATTGTAAACTATATGCTGATCTCCGTCAGCAATTTCTAGATCAACTCTGCATCCCCAAATGGAAACCAGAGTTGGAAGTCATACATTTTCTATTACTGGGGAATGATCAGGAGCTCACCAAATTTAGTGGCTAAATATCTCTATTTGTTTTTTTGTCCTTGAAATACTCTGCAGACGCCTGATCTCCCTGGAGACCTGGAGATGTGACAATAGACTGCTCTGCCTCCTTTCTTTTAGCAAATGTTTTGTGCCACTGGGGAAGTGGTAATTCTGTAGTGATTCATTTTGGATGTTTGGATGTGATGCCAATAAAAGGTCTGATGATGAACATGACTTTCTGAAACCTTTCTTCACAAAAGCAAGCAGACACACCTAGGCAGAAATGGTCTGGTTTCTTTTGAGTGACAATACTGGCCTCATAACACAGAGACCGCCCCTCTATGTACAGACTGTGGGGGGTTGGGTCAGGAAAAGGAGATGTAAAGGCTATAAATTATGGTGATTCAGAGGTTTAATTTGAACACAAGCTGGATTTGAGTTTGTTGGTGTCTCTGGTAACCTGTCTCTTAAATTATGGGTGCATGATCCGTGTTCTTTTATTGGTACTCTTGCTGTGGGTTTGTCATGGCCTTTGGCAAGAACAATAAACTTATATTGAATTGAATTGAATTTCCGCCTTTATCTGCCTGCCAAGTAAGATTCCCCTTAATGCATCTGACAAAGAGAAAGCTTTGTGCCATGATAAATTTGTCAGCCGCCTAAGGTGCCACCAGACTCTGTGTTTTGCTTTTGCTGAAAGAGCTTGTTGCAGAGAGAGGATGGAGCGACTCTGGTCCTTGAGGGAGATCCTGAACTAACAGGACAGAAAGAGGCTCCTTCTCAAAAAGGTTTTGAAGCAGAGGCCGACCTGCCAGGGTTGCTGCAGCCACCCATTTCCTGCCTTGCTGGGGGCTAAATGAGACAGCTTCTGATGTCCTTCCCAAATCAATCAATCAATCCATGTGATGCACTGGGAGTGCCAACAACAACTGGCCACACTAAACGTTACAGGGTAAGAGGGCATTGCTTTTTGGGTGGGACAATCGTACAAATTGGAAATATTGCAGGAGTCTGAGCCTGCTGCCAGGTGGAGGCAAATAACAAGCCCTGGGTGCAGGAACCCCCCCCCCAAAAAAAAAATTCTGGCTGCTTTGAGTAATTCAGAAAAACATGAGCTGCCGTTCCCGTGTTGCAGGGGTCCAGCTCTACAATTGTGTGAGTCTACAGCGGGGAGCCTCTGGAAAGCAAGATACATTCTGAGATCTCGGAAGGCTCATTCTCCCCTCCCCATGAAGGCAGGCTCAGCAGGGCGGACTTTGCTGTGAGGCGGAAATGGGAAACAAAACGGAGAGCAGGCTCTGGGGGCAGCCTCAAAACGGGGCCTCCTGGCTCAGAACCCAGCAAATTGAGACAGAGATAAGCAAGGCCAGAGGGTACCCAGCAAGTGTGGGGAAGGGCAGGTCACCCCAGGACACCCTTCCCCACTGCTGGAGACGTCCCGGTTGTGGAAGGAGGGCAGGTGGCCGGGCGGCAGACTGTCCATTGTTCTTGCTTAGGAGCAGGAGGGCTCGAAGGGGGTCCCTCTCTTCCCGATGTTCTGCACTCCAGACATTCAACATGCCAAGTCTCTTTGGATCAAATGAAAAAGAAAGAATAAAAGAGCAGCCCCTTTGCTCCCGCAGCAGCCAGCGGCCAGAGTCCTTTTCACAGAGTCTGAACGGCAACTGGATACAGCAAGGAGAGGTGCTCAGCACCTTTGACAGGCAGCTCTTGAGCCGTGTAGAAATGGATGACTTCGGGGACGCTGTCGAAGGGGGCGCTGTTCTGGCCCAAGACATACTTGTTCTCCTTCGTCCGGGTGAATTTCATGTGCATGAAGCCTTGGCTGCTCCTGCCAGAGAGAGAGAGAGAGAGAGAGAGAGAGAGAGAGACAGGGGTCAGAGTCTGCACCCCACACTCACAGCGCCCAGCAGCTGAGGATCTTGGGTTTAATCCTCATGGCTTTGGAAGCTAAGAAAGAAAACACAGCCAAGTTGTTTCCAGAGCTATCCTGCTTTCATTCCCATAGGAAGCTGCTTTGCTCAGACCACTCCTCCCCCCCCCCCCATGTCTACCTGAAAATACCCTCCAGGGGTCCTGATTTTCCAGAGACAGTCCTGGAACTACAGGAGCCATCCCAGTTTCTGATTTGATCCCAGAATGTCCCGCTTTTCATTTTTCCTCCCCTCCACATCTTGGAGAACAATTGAAAGTGTTTTGTGTGTGCAGAAACAAGAGTCCTGTTTACACGGAAAATAAGGCACCTACACCAAATAAAAGAAATGGTGAAGTTGGTACACAAGGCCTTTCCTATAATTCTGAAGGAAAATGTCACCAAACCACTTTAAATTCTTAAATTTGCACCAAGTTCAAAAGGATATATTCTATTCTATTCTATTCTATTCTGTTCTGTTCTGTTCTGTTCTGTTCTGTTCTGTTCTGTTCTATTCTTATCCTAACTTTTTCCCTGACAGGGACTCAAGTCAGCTTACCACTAAAATTTTATTTAATTCCATTTATCTGTAGAAGCTGTTGTACACAATCCCTTCCCTCACACATTTTTCCTTTACAACAACCCTGCAAGGTTGGTTCAGCAGAGAGGCTGCCCTTGGCTCAAGGTGACCGATGTATGCATGCATATGACGTCTATGCGCGTGGCGAGATGAAACACAGGAGAAGCTTCCTGGTGTAGAATAGGATTGTCCCTATTTTCATCTGAGAAATATTGGAGGGTAGCCACTGACAGGCAAAGGCTCGCTGGGATTTTATCCTGCCCTACTAAGAGATGTCAGGATTGAACTCCTTTACATAAAAAGCACCTGCTCAACAGACCTTCCCATAAAAGAGATCCCAGGTCTCAAGTCTTGGGCCGCAAAAGACAAAACTGGAGGAAGTGAATGTTCCCTAAGAGAAGGCAGAGGGTGATGGTGGAAAAGAGCAGACTGCAAGAGTCTGAAAGTGAATTTCAGGAACATGGCAAATAACATTTCTGCAGCAAGCCGTCCACAGATCATGAGGTGGGGAGGGAATTGGTGCTGGAGGGAGAGAGGCCGTTTTAATGTTACGGGTTTGACAGAGCAGGGAAGGAGATGAAAGGCCACGTCCACCGCAGTTGACATGGCTGGGTGTGATCAAAGCGCCAAAGGACTCGGGAGGAGAAGGGGGTCGGGGAAGCCTGGAACGCAAGCTCTGACTTTTTGCCGCAGATTATAACTCATCTGTCACTTTGCTTTTCCTCTTTCCCTTCCGTTGCAGACAAGGGATAAATCCTGATGGATTAAGACGCTGCATAATCACGTCAGAGGAAGGGGGTGGGAAGCCTGGCAGAGGGGCTGAGCAGGGTCCTGGGTCTGCCCAGAATGAAGCCCAGCTTTAGGGATGCGCCGAGATTTCAACCTTCTCGTTTACTTACTATTTTTGCATTTGTATATCCCTTCCTCTTCCTCCAAGGTGCTCAAGGTCGGGTGCCTCATTTCATCTCCACAACGACCCTTGAGAGAAAACAGCGACTGGCCCCCAAAGTCGCTTGGCCAGCGTCGTGGCCAAGTGGAGATTTGTACCCTGGCCTCTCCCAGGGCCTCCCTCTAACCACTACACTGCTCATCAATTTAAAAAGCAAGCATCCAAAAAGCACTTAAAGAACATGGATCTTAAGAGAAGGGGTGGCCTCTTCAGTATCAACCAACGCCACACGCATGGAAGAGCCAGGCTGGTGCGCTCCCTCTTGGCGCACGCCGAGCCCATGCGATCGCACGTGGAGGCCCCAAGCGATGAATGCTTCATCGTGTTCATGCACAGATCAGAGGGACAGATGTTCTTTGCTCTCTGAACAGCAGGGCTGGCTATCAAATATTTATCCCGGTGCCAGGAGAGGGGAGGAAAAAGGCTCCCTCGCACTCTGCTGGGTGCCTCCAGAGCATCCCATAATAGCAGGGCAGCCCCTTTTTGCCCTCTTCACCTTGCGTGTCCCAAGATCACTGGCGGATGTAAAAGTGTCGCCTCTGGGACAGACAGTGCCTGTGGTTTTGGTATATGAATTTCAGGGATTAAATGTCTGCTGTTTAATATAATAAATAATAATAATAATAATAATAATAGTATTTATATCCCATCTGGCTGGGTTTCCCCAGCCACTCTGCACAGCTTACAACATATAAAACACAACAAAACATCAAACATTTAAAAACAAGATATCCTTTACAAGCAACAAACAAACCAATAAATCATTTAAACCAACAACAACAACAACAGTTTGCAGTTATACCCATATTAAGGTAATCGCCACCCCCAAGTAAACATTTAACCAACACCAGCCCAACAAAAATGAAACAGAGGAATCAGAATCAGAACTGTCTAAAACATTTTACAACATTTTAGCCAGTTGCCCCAACCCAAACGCTGCTCCAGCCACGTCCCAGTGGCCTCCCAGGAGCCCCTCTGAGCTGTCCAGGGGGAGTCTGGGCCCCCCAGGCCAGGTGGAAATTGGCCTGGCAGCAGAGAGCAGGCCTTTCTTCCAGCACTCAGGCAGCAGAAAATAGATTCGTTGCTTTAGTCTTTTTGCAAACCGCTTCAAGGTTTATTATTATTATTATTATTTAGATCAAACGGCATATAATTTTTGTAAAACCAATAGCTTGTATGTTTCTAGTTTATCGCAGCTTTTAATGTTCAGGAAGTTTTAGTTGCTTTGTTTGCACATCCTTCCATTTTAGGAGGCAAAACTCCAATTTTCTTTTTTTTTTTAATCAGACAACATTTAGCTTGTTAAGTCTATGTTTGATGAAAAAGTGCATAAACTGCTTTTGAAAAACCAAAGTATCTCCATTGTGCCTTCTGCAAATGTCAGGAAATGCTAAATCATCATCACAAGAAAAATAATATTAATATATAATGTACCTGCAAGTACTTGGCAGTCATTCTTTAAGGATTTTGATGTGATTTTAAATACCTCTTACCAAGCAAAGCTAAATTATATCAATTTAGCCAGCATATATTTCAGATCCCCAAGTTGTGTTGCAACTTTTTTTTGCAAACCTCGTTTTTGGAATTTGAAAGCTGGAAAAGTCAACATGCCCAACTCCTGGAATATTCCTTAAGATCCCGGTTTGGAAAGTGCAGACAGGGAAGAAGATGCTGCTTACCTGAGCGAGAGAGAGTAGTCGTTGCGGCTGGTCTCGCTGTTCCGGACCAGGTAGCTGCCTTCCTTGCAGAGGGTCAGGAGGGATTCTGCGTCGGCTCGGCTGATGGTGCCGTGAAACCACCTGGGGGGGGGAGCCCAGCAGGGTCACGGCTTGCAAATCCTCATCTCTTTGCCCAGACCCCCCTTCCTCTACCTTTGCTTCTCTTAGCATCCACACAGCTCACCCGTGTGGCAACGTGAGGCGACCGCCTTGGGCGGCAGGACTCCCAGGGGCAGCGCAGCCAGCCTCCAACAAATGCATTGCTTGCTGCTGCTGCTACTGCAGGGGGACCATTGGGGGCTGGATCCTTCTCAGCAACACCCCCACAGTGATCTCCAGGCAGATAAGAGCCACTGTTGGTCTCCTCTCATCTTTAGGTAGGTGATAGCTGCCCCCTGGGGTCTCCACTCCCACGGCCTTTGATTCACACTTTAACTATCAGGTAAGGTTGACCTGATTCCCCCATGTTTCTGACGGAGATCTTCATTCACCCCGTCTTCCCTGGCGCAGGGAGCATCCTCGCCAAAATATCTTGGGCAGGCCCTGATTCCTCCATTGGGGGGGACCTTGGAGGTCAGTGGCTCCAGCCAGCGGCAGACGGTCTGTTTGGGGAAATGGGGTACCACCCCACCACCCCAAGACTGCATCCACCTCATTATTTATTATTTTATTAAACTTGTATACCACCCTTTATCCACTGTCTCGGGGCAGTTCACAGCATAAAAATACAAGATGAAAACACAAAATACATAACCCACCCCACCCCAACGCATAATTCCCTCTCCCCCCACAAACAGGTTTAAAAAGATATGAGCTGTTAATCAGCCCAAGGCCTGGCTGAAGAGGAACGTTTTTGCCTAGCACCTAAAGATAGGTAATGAAGGCCCCAGGCAAGCCTCCATGGGGAGAGCATCCCACAAGCAGGGAGCCACTGCAGAAAAGGCCCTCTTTCTTGTGTTGCCACCCTCTTGACCTCTCATGGAGGAGGCACACAAAGGATGACCAGAGGATGATCCAGGGTCCAGCAGAGGCAGTTTTAGAGTAGCGCGACTAGATCAGCCACACTGGGTGCTGCAACAATGCTGTAGAATAGGGCATGAGGAGGGGGGGGGCACATTTTAGTGTCACACAGGACAACGCTGGAACTTGAGAGCCCAAAGTCTGCCACTGGGTCTGGGTAGGCTCATATGGGGAGAGGTGGTCCTTGATGCTTCATAGGTCCAAACCAGCTCTTTGAATTGGGCCTGCCTAGAAACTAATGACCAGCAGTGCAGCCTGACACTCGATGCTCCTTCCATCTTGCCCTGGAGAGCAGCCTGGCTGCTGGATTCTGTGCCGACCTCCCTGTCCTTTAATGCTTGGACTGATACTCTCGAGTTGCATCCTCTTTCCAGCTCCCTCCTCCTCACACTTCTCTCTCAGGTGTATGAGAAACCCTTCCCCCCCCCCCACCTAATGCAAGAACTTGCAGACATGCAGTGAAATGGGATGGTGGAAGATTCAGGTCAGAGACAGGAAAGTCCTTCTTCATGCAGCATATTGTTTAATGATGGACCTCCACCCCGAAGGAGGCAGATGGGCACCACCTTGGGCAGCTCTAAATGAGGATTGGACCAAGTCATGGAGGAGGAGAAAGCCAGTGCAGGGGCTGGACTGGATGACCCTTAGGGTCCCGTCCAACTCTATGATTCTAAGATGAGAGGTCGCCTTGATTCTCTCCTCTGAGGACAAAGCAGCCAGCAGCCTGACTGCCTTGTTCTTCTCTGGCACAGTTAGCTTAAAACTAGAATCCTTTTTTTATCCAAGTTGGGCACTTCCTACAATAAACAGTGTGATTGTGTTCTTACTCTATAACATGGGTAGGCAAACTAAGGCCTGGGGACCGGATCCGGACCAATCGCCTTCTAAATCCAGCCCGTGGATGGTCCAGGAATCAGCGTGTTTTTACATGAATGTGTCCTTTTATTTAAAATGCATCTCTGGGTTATTTGTGGGGCATAGGAATTTGTTCATTTTTTTATTTTTCAAAATATAATCCAGCCCCCCACATGGTCTGAGGGACAGTGGACCGCCCCCCTGCTGAAAAAGTTTGCTGAACCCTGCTCTACAAGCATCTCTCTCTAGGTGAGATTGCAAGAGAAGCGTCACTCTATGGACAGTTAGCAAAATGAAAGAAGGGCGTCCAGGTAATTTCTAGTGGAGTTTACAGACACGAGACTCCTAACAGAATCATAGAATTGCAGAGTTGGAAGGTACCCCAAGGGTCATCTAGTCCAACCCCCTGCAATACAGGAACCCCGCCCACAACCACCCCCGGGTGGGCTCAAACCACCAACCTCCTGGCCAGATGCACTGGTCCTTTGTGCCCCTAATTAAGGCACATGGGGGGGGGGATTGGAGGTTTCAGCCCCACCTTCCGTTTCCCCATGGCTGTAGGAGGACAATTTACTGGAGCAGTACATTTTCAATAATTTGGTCAATAGCGGCTAACAAGAAAAATTACCCAGACAAAAATAAATTAAAACATCAACAATATCTAAGAAACATGACAAGAAATGCAATGATGATAATTCTTTATGATTAGTCAATAGCACTCAGAGGATAATAATGTCCCATTCAGACGCTGACGGAAATTGTGCGCAAGGGAGACAGGGACTTCTTTTACGTAACACAACCTTGATCTTCAAAGCTAGTTTTGCGGTGCCTTGATTTTGCTGGGGCATTTTCCTTTTGGGAAAGCTTGTTTTATCAAACAGGCTTGGGTCAAATGAAGCAGCATGAATTATGCAAATCAAGCCACTGGGCATCGCTTTGCATAATCTTTGCAAGGCACAGGGGTGTCCCTTGGTCCGACTGCATTGCTGAACAACAGCAGCAAAGCAAAAGACCTCCCACCACCAGGCCTATGGGATAATCCCCTCCACATATGTAGATTTGCACTCTGATTATTCAAAGCATCCTGCTCTGTGCCTTGTCTCTGACAGTAATCCTGCTGGGATAACATACTTGGGTCCATGAATTCCGATGGGTCTGCTCTGAGGAGGATTCAGTCTGAGGCAATCTTCTGACTCACAAGGTGGAACAAGCCCTCCTGGATCAAGCCAGCCTCCTGCTCTCCCCATGGCCAGATGCCCCCAACTCTCCCTCCCTGGAGCGCAGCCCCATTGCTGCCTCTGCCTGCGGAGGAAGAGCAGACCCATTGTCCCCTCCAGCCATGGAGAGCCCCCTTCTCCACAAACTTCTTTTGAAGCCATTTAGGTTAAGGTTACCAGATTTTTCTCAATGAATTCGGGGACACTTTTCAACTTCCTACTAAATAGATGGATTTTGTCAGGGGACTGATTTGTAAATCCGGGGACTGTCCCTGGGAAACGGGGACGTCTGGTAACCTTACCCCAAGGGTCATAGTCCAACCCCCCTCACTGCAATGCAGGAATCTCCACCATTTTTTTATTTTTTGTTCTCTGGCAACTAACATTCTAAGGTAGACTGCTGCTGAACAGGGAGCTTTACCTATTACCTAACGTTCTAAGGTAGACTGCTGCTGATTTGTAAATCTGGGGACTGTCCCTGGGAAACGGGGATGTCTGGTAACCTTGATTTAGGTTGGTGGCCCCCATGGCATGAAGGACTTTCCTTTGTCCTGAATCTGCCCACGTGCAGCTTCACTGGATGTTTACGAGTTATGGGGGGGGTGGGAGAGAGATACTGGGAACAGGAATTTACCTCTCCCAGGAGCTGTAATTCCCAGCCCCTTTAACAAGCCCCCGTTTCTAGGATTTTTTGGAGGGAGCCAAGTGTTTTCCATGCATATGCATGGAGTCAGACTCCCCTTGAAGCCAAGAAACCAGAGTGCTGACCCCCCATGGGATGATTTCTGGGGGGGGGAGGAGTTAGATGAAGACCACCTCAGGACCACCCACCGCTGAGTGAACTACCTTCGACCTGAACAACTTAGGTCAAGGGTACCTCAATCAGTAGAGCATGAGCAGGGTCGTGGGTTTGAGCCCCACATTGGGCAAAATATTCCTGCACTGCTGGGGGTTGGGCTAGATGGTCATTGGGGTCCCTTCCAACTCTACAGTTCTCTGATTCTGTGATCATGAGTTCATCTGCAGGAGCACTGTTGGCTGTTCCCGTTCAATTGGCAAGGCTCAACTGACAACACAATGAACGGAGTCTTTATTCTCATTGGCTCAGTCCTCTGGAACTCACTGCCACTAGAGATTCAGCAGGCATCTTCCATCTCAGCTTTTAAATACCTGCTGAAAACGTTTCTGTTCCACCAGGTCTACTTAGGAATGCATCTATCCATCACAGTTTGTTAATTTCTGGTTTTAACATTTCTGCATGGTTTTCATTGCATAATATGAGGCACAATGATTGTAAATCACTCTATCTTTTTTGCATAGCAGTATTACACTTACTTACTTGCATGCATACATACACACATGCGTATGTGTGTATGGCAATCCCCCATCTATGCGCATTTAATACATGCATGACTGCACACATGCAGACCACACCAAACCTGGAAGTGACCCGAAAACGTCACCAAAAGGGTCGTAATGGGGTGAGGTGGAACAGGGTGTTTGCAGGCTTCCCCAATGGTGCTTCAAATATACGTGCCTCAGAACATAACCCCCACTTAAATGGGGGGGGGGTTTGCCTGTACACCCCCCCCATCCTGCAGGAAGGATCCCGATGAGTTTTTGATATGTTACTATTTAAATATTTGCAATAACTAAAAATTAAACAAAAAAGCAGTATACACAGCCAAAATCTCCCTTATGTAGCATAAATGACTCATAGAATCATAGAAGTGGAGAGTTGGATGAAGCCCCCAAGGGACATCTAGCCCAACCCCCTTGCTTCCCCTTACACCTGGCACTCCCCTCCAATGCCCCACAGATCTCCCACAGTCCTTTGCTACCTGCAACTCTCCTTGCACAAAGAAGGAAGATTGGTGCTGGCCCACAAATGCATTTTTACGTGGGTGTCGTGGCTTGCTGGCACCTCCCATCACTTACGCCTGATTTTCCAAGGGCAGCGAGGGGTCAATGCGCTCCGCAGCAGGAAGGCTGTGCTCAGGGCTCTGCGACCGGACAAACTTGGAGCTCCCCGTCAGGTGTGGGCGCCAATGTTCTTTGTGTGTGGAAGAGGCAGCGGCGAGGGACGTCCATTCCCAGTCTGGGGTCTCAAACTGCACTGTGTGGGGAGTGGAAAGGACCCGTTAGACTGGGGGGTTCAGCTGCTGCCCAATGGATGGTTTTTAAAAAAAATTAAAATCCCCCCAGGTGTAAACAGAGAAATCTTCAAACTTGTTTTATTGATTTTTCACAAAGCAAAAACATAAGCATTGAATTGTTGTCCAGTATCACAACTTGCATTGCACTGCATGCATTGCACTGCCTGGAGCAGCGCATGAGTCTCTTGATCTCAGGGGTTGTGGGTTTGTGCCCCACCTTGGGCAAAAGATTCCTCCATTGCAGGAAGTTGGGCTAGACAGCCCTCATGTCCCTTCCGACTCTATAGGAATTAAGCAAATGTTATGGAGAAAGTGCGATGTGGTGGTTGAATACAGACACAGGATTTCTTTTCATCACACTGCAGTCTGTTTATTAGCTTACCAATGCCAGGATACCTGTGCTATCCGTGATTCTTTCATGTGAATGATTTCCTGACGACAGTTCAAGGTCAAAAGCATGCCAACTTGACATCAGAAGAGGCTGCTGGATCAGGCCCAGGGCCCATCTAGTCCAGCTTCACAATGGCACTCTCCCCTCCTGTGGCTTTCAGTGGAGGCACAAAGAATTTGCCCGTTCCTTTTTTAAAGCCATCTAGGCTGTAATCCTCTCATTGGGCTCTGAAGCCTTTCAGGCCTCCCTGTAGTCAGTGCAGTATTTGTTCAGAAAAGGCCTTCAAAGAGCGCGGCACTGTTTTCATTTTCTGTATTTTAACTGATCTCAGGGCTTTTATATTGCTCTAATTCTATTCCAGTTGAATTACTTTTCAATGACGATCTCTTAAATGTATTTAGCTGTTTGCATTTACAGTCGATGCCCGGGTTGTGAACATGATCCATGCGGGAGGCACGTTCACAACCCGCAGTGTTCGCAACCCACAGCGCTGCATCTGCGCACGTGCGGTTTGCAATTTGGCGCTTCTGCACATGTGCAAAGCGTGATTTAGCACTTCTGCACATGCGCAAGTGCCGAAACCCAGAAGTAACCCATTCCGGTACTTCTGGGTTTCGGCGCGTCCCAAAAACACGCAACCTGAAGTGTCTAACCTGAGGTATGACTGTATTATTTATTTTTTCACAGCACTGATAACCACGCTTGACTGTAAAAACAAAACACACTGAAGTTCACAAAAGAAAACGATAAGATCGAGGAAATTTTAGAACCCTGCTTTGAAGCATACAAAAGTTAAAAAGCACTAAAACAGATTAAAATCATGTCAACTTTCTAAGCGTCTGGGAAGGCATGTTTGTTTTTAGAAGGCACCTGCCTGATCTCAATAGGCAGGGAGTTCCAAAGGGCAGGCCCTGCCCCCACCCAATGATGGAGCTCTTACAAACGCAGAACGGGATTGTGTGGCACCTGGAATGGTGCCAATTCCATTTTATCTGCGTCATTTTGTGTAAGCTGCCTTGAGTCCCAGTCTGAGGAAAAGGCGGAATAAAAATTATAATAGAAGAATAACCCTAATTTATCACTGTTTTTAATCCTTTGGTCATATTTTTTTGAATTAACACAGAGCCTGACCTTCTTCACAAGGTTAATCTTGGGGTGGGCTTGTGACAGGATGTGGAAAATGCAGGTGGGGGGGCAGTAGCACATGGGACACGCCACGCATCCATGTGCAAACCAGCTGTCATGAATGTGGCAAGCGCAGGAACAGCAGGGAAGAGGGATGGAAGAGAGACAAATCAGAAGAGGAAGAACAAGAGGAAAGTCCTGGGAGACAAGGAAACAGACACAGAATACAGAAAAGCGAGGAGGGGGGCATTCATTGGGCTTCCCCCCCTCTGGAACCATAGGGTGTGTTTGAGGACAGGTGTATTCTGTGGCATGTTCTTGTCTCATAGGAGCCAGTGTGCCCTAGTGGTTAGAATGTCAGACTAGGGCCTGGGGGAGACCAGGGTTCAAATCCCCCCTCAGCCATTAAGCTCATTGGGGGCCAATCCCTGCCTCTCAGCCTAACCCACCTCACAGGGTTGCTGTGAGGATTAAATGAGGAACAGTGGCGTAGCGTGGGAGGTGCAGGGGGTGCCGGCTGCACCGGGCGCAACATCTGGGGGGGGGGCGCGCTTGCACTCGCAGCCCTTGCCCCTACCTGGCTCACTCACTCTCTCTCACTGCAGTGCTGGCTGTGCGAATCCGATCCGAGCCGCTGGGTCGCTGCCCACTGTGGAGGGGGTGGGTGCCAGGCGTGCGGTGCGGAGAGAGAGCGAGGGACTATCTGGGGGAGGGACAGTGCAGCGGCCGCCCAGCGCAGCGCTGAGCGCGGGAGAGAACCACACCAGACCAGCCCAGGCAGCAGCAAGAAGCTGGCAGCGGCGGCAGGTTAGGGGGCGCAAATTACTTGCCTTGCCCCGGGTGCTGACAACCCACGCTACGCCGCTGATGAGGAAGAGAACCATGTGCCCCACTTTGAGCTAGGGGGAAAGAAAGTGGGTCAGAAATGCAATCATATAAAATAAATAAGCCAGAAATACTGCAGGAGTGACGGGTTTATTCTGCGTTAGTTGTTGTTCTATGATGATTCCCCAGTGCAACTAAAGCAGGGCAAAAAAAGAGAAAGAAAGCAGAGGATTTGTAGTGTGAAAAGTTATGGGATTTCAGCAGGACGCACTGACTGGAGACAAAGCCGTGGGGCTGTCCCAAAACTTTGCAGGCGCAAACAGGGCTGAGAGTGGGGAGGGGAGCATCCGGAGCACAAATCATCATGAATGTGCAATAAACGCACTGGAGGGACCCAGAGAAGCAAATGCTGGAGTTTTCCAGGGGCCAAATCTCATGCAGACTTTTCGGTCCCCTTGTGAGAAGGCAGCCAGGGGCGCTGTGTCCCTGTTGCCAACACCCTTTTCACAGGTGAAGGCTCCATGCCTTTTCATACCTGAGTGGAACGCAGAAATTCAGCAGGTGCAGCTTGTCTGCTGGGGAAGCTGCACCCGTTGAACATTTGCCTGCCCTGTGGAAACTTCTGTCTATGTAACAGACAGCAACCCCAGTGCCACTCTAAGCTGGAGTCAAAAACCAGGGCCAGCCAGAGAAGGCAAGAGTGGTGTGCCTGGGTAGAGGGCAGGGGGAAAGATGTTTCCAACCCAGGGGAGAGAGGCTGAGGTGGGTAAGAGGTTAAAAAAAGACGTCACCTTCTGGATCTAGGGATTCCTCTGTGCCCGTGAGTTGTCCTACCGGAGGTGGCCAGGGCAAGACTTTATTCTCCTTAATGTCTACTGCAATGGGAGAGGGCATCATGGAGGAGAGGAGAGAGAGAGAGAGAGAGAGAGAGAGAGAGAGAGAGAGAAGGGAGGTGGTCGGGAGGAAGGCCAGGCGAAGGGAGGAGAGATGATGGGAAGAGAGAAGGAAAGGAAGGGGATAAAAAGGGAGGAGGAGGAGGAGCATGGCAACAGAGAAGGGGAAGGAGAGAAGAGAAGACCAGGAGAAGGGAGAAGAGGAAAGGAATGCAAGAAGGAAAGAAGGAGAGGGAAGAACTTATGGGGAGAGGAGCATGAGGGGGAAGAGGAGAGAGGGCAAGGAAAGATGAGAAGAAATGGAAGAACAGAATAACAGGGGGAAAATGGAGCAGAGGAATTCATGGAGACAGGAGGAGAAATTTGGTGGAAAGGGGAGAAAAGAAAGCAGGAGGAGAGGGATGAGGAGCAGAAAAACACAGTGGCGAGGGAGAGAAGAGATGAGAAAGAGGAAGGGAGGAAAGAGACAAAACAGACATGATAAAAAAGAAAAGATCTAATGAGGGACAGACAAGGGGAGACAGGCAATTGGCCCCTCAGCCCCTCCCTTCACAACAGCCATTCTCTGAGTCTTGCCCCCGATGTTTCCTCAGCTCTTTTTAATGAAATAAGTGCTTTATTTCTGCTTGACACTGTGGAGGACTGGAGGATACATAATATTTTTAAAATATATAATAATGTTCTTTTTAAAGCTATAATATTGATGGAGTATCCTGTTTTTAGGTGTGTTTTTTCCCACCTGTTCCTCTCAAGCTGGCAAAAAAAAAGAAAGCCAAAGAAGTTCCTTACAGTTCAGCAATTTGGAGCTCCATTCATAACAAAAGTTTTAAAGCTTTTAGAATGCAAATTACATTTGTAATAATTGACTGACTAATCTGTATTTTTATACGCCAAATGTGATAATTTAAAAGCTAAGCCCAGTTATACAGAATGCCTTTTATGTTCCAAAAGGAACAAAGTGACATTTGATTTGTAAAGCGTGCTTTAAAAAAAAGCACATTTCCCCCTTTTCTCCCAAAATTTCTGTCCCTGAAAGAAGACCCAGGAATGGGAGTCTTGGGAGTTGAGAGAAGCTGGTGGCAACAATAGAAGAGCAAGGAAGGCAAAGAACGAGGAGGAATTTCAAAGAATGGATTAAACAGAAAAGTTTGGCCCTATCTCCTGGCTCAGAGATGCTTCCAGAAGACAGGGAAAATTGGCTGAGGAGCTCCAAAAACCTGGAGTCAGAGTCTACTCTGAGGAGGACTTAGCTGGGGAGACAACTACTATTAATTATAATGGCTAAAAATAAATTAAAAAATTGTACAGTAGCACCTTAGAGACCAGCTAAGGAAGTGTGCCTGCACACGAAAGCTTATACCCAGAACAAACTTAGTTGGTCTCCAAGCTGCTACTGGACAATTTATTTAGACTGCCTCAGACCAAGGCGGCTACCTACCTAAATCTAGAATAATGGCTAGGAATTTGCCTTTAAAAAGAGAAGAGAAATGGGATTCTCAGGAAGTTGAATTATGCATATAGGGAGCCCCATTTACATCCCTTCCACCAAGGGCCAGATTTAGGTTTGATGAGGCCCTCAGCTCCTGAAGGTAAAGGGGGCCCTTTATATGTCCAGCTGTCCTTTGTCAACAACAAATTGTCACTGTTTTTGTGTTGAATATATGCTATATGGTCATTGATGGACCTGATAGGTATCTCAAGCCATTTGCGCATGCTGCCCTGCAACCAGTCCATGCAGAATGTAGGCACCCTGTATATAGAAAGGAGCAAAGCAGTGATATTTGAGGGAGCAGGCGGGGCTTATGACTTACATCATAAGAACCTACACAACACAAAACACTGTTGCTGCATGTAGGTTTTATTTCATTTGTTTTTTATCTTACATTTTGGAAATGTACATTCAGTCTTTTTCCCTTTAAATTTTTTTGGGCCCCCCAAGAGAGTGGGGCGCTAAGCTAGAGCTTGTTTAGCTGGCACGTAAATCCAGCCCTGCTTCCACCCCTCTGGCTCCCCTTCTCTTAGGGAAACCTGCTGGAGGTGGATTGGGTCTGCTCAGCAATACTCTTGAGTCAGGCTCTCCATGGGTCCTGATTTTCCAGGGACAGACCCAGAATTACAAAAGCCACCCTGGCTTCTGATTTGATCCCAGACTGTCCCTGCTTCCTGCTGCTATTTGGGGAGGAAGATGAGCCAGTGCTTCCCCCAAGTGATGGGGGAGGCGGGGGGGGCATCCTGTTGCCTCTCCACGCCCCCCCTACATGGTTCCATGACCAGCTTCCGCCTTTGGGCAGCTCGTAGGGGCTGCTGGAGAGTGGTGAGGAGGAGTAAAGGGGGAGCAGAACGGAGTGCAAGGAACCTTGATTTTTTAATAATACAGTGGTACCTCTGGATGCAAACGGGATCCGTTCCAGAGCCCCATTCTCATCATGAGCAGAATGCAACCTGTGTTTGCGTGTGCGCAGGCCACGATTCGCCGCGTCTGCGCATGCGCGTGACGTCATTCTGAGCCGCATCTGTGCATGTGCGAGCGGCGAAACCCGGAAGTAACCTGTTCTGTTACTTCTGGGTTGCCGCGGGACGCAACCTGAAAAGATTTAACCCAAAGCGACTTTAACCCGAGGTATGACTTTAATAGTAATTTTATTATTTGTACCCCACCCATCTGACTGGGTTGCCCCAGCCACTCTGAGCGACCTCTGACATATATAAAACCATAATAAAGCGTCTAATCTTGCTTCTTTCTAAAATGTATTTATTGGTATGTGTTTTTCTTTTTGTAAATCTATAAAGAATAAAAATAAAATCGGGACGAAGCACCGCCTCAGGACGGCGGAGGGTGTGCGCGCGCTGTGTCCCGTTGGTGAAATGGCTCTCGCCATTCTTCTGGTAGGAAATGCTTTGCGGAGGAGGGAGATGAAAAATGGGGGGGTCAAGGAGGGCTAGTTGTGGGGGGGATGCCCCTATTTCCCCGTGAGGGAGGTTGGAGGGTGTGCTCTCACCTGCGAAGGCCCGAGAGATGTGGTTCTTCTTCCACTCCCACGGCTGGTCATACTCATCGGCCGGCCTCTCGTCATCCTGGGGCAGCCGGCTCTCTCGGGGCTTGCTGGTGGGCCTGCCCTCCGGGTCAGACTCTGGCTCCTTCTCCTCATAGGGGGTGTCGTACAGCTGCAGCCCAATCCGGGATTTCTTCACCCTTTGCTCATCCCGGTCGCTTTTCCGCTGGAAATCTGGAAGCCGAGACACACAGGATTCAACGAAAATGGAAACAGCCACAATAAAATGGCAGTCAGCCAAGTCCTGCTCAGAGTAAATCGGTTGATATGCATGATTGAACATGACTAATGTGGGTCCATTCACTTCAGTGGGTTTACTCTGAGTAGAACATCACTGCCTACAACCCAATAATAGCAAGACCGGACAAAAGATTCCTGCGTTGCTTCAGGGGGTTGGACTAGATGACCCTCATAGTCCCTTCCAAATCTACAATTCTATATTTCCAACTGCATCATGCTCAGAGTAGACCCACTGAAATGAATGCACATGACCAACATGGGTCCACTGATTTTTGGTCAGGACGCACACAGCCCTAAAACTGTTCCACGCAGCTACATTTCTTTTTGATCCCAGCTAAACAAGCCAAAAATGTAATTTGTGGGAGGGGTATTTCCATGTTAGGCAAAGATCAAAATATGATCAGGATTATTGCCAGATTCTGTGTACAGATCTGTAGGTGCAGACCATCCCCCGACCCAAACTAGTTCGTTAAAAAAATCCCCAAACTCGGTTCCATGGGAGACTCTGGGTCATCTCTCTGCGGTAGCTTATCTTAAAGTTTTAAGTGTCTATACACTTATCGCATTTGTAAATTTCAAATTTATTGTTGTACATTGTTTTAAATGTTTGCTTTCCTTCTGGGATTGTTCCCCCAAGTGTGTTTTATAAGCTGGTCTCTGACCATAATAAATTTATCTATCTATCTATCTATCTATCTGTCTATCATCTTCCTCTGCACTCCCTCCCACCACGAAGCCCTTGAGATAATAATAATAATAATAATAATAAATTTTATTTATATCCCGCCCTCCCCAGCCAAAGCCAGGCTCAGGGCAGCTAACAACAAACAAATAATCAAACAATCAAATAATCCAACATTCTAAAACATTTCATTATAAAAATTAATTAAAATCAAATTAATGGCAACCGTTGAGCAAAGTTCTGTGCAGGTTGCCGGAGGTGGGAGTCAGGCTGGGCCCTGACCAAAGGCCTGGTGGAACAGCTCTGTCTTGCAGGCCCTGCGGAAAGATGTCAAGTCCCGCAGGCCCTAGTCTCTTGTGACAGAGCGTTCCACCAGATCGGGGCCACAGCCAAAAAAGCCCTGGCTCTAGTTGAGGCCAGCCTAACCTCTCTGAGGCCTGGGACCTTCAGGATGTTTTTATTTGCAGACCGTAGGTTCCTCTGTGGGGCATACCAGGAGAGGCGGTCCCGTAGGTACGAGGGTCCTAGGCCGTATAGGGCTTTAAAGGTTAAAACCAGCACCTTAAACCTGATCCTGTACTCCACCGGGAGCCAGTGCAGCTGGTATAGTACCGGATGAATGTGATCTCGCAGCGAAGACCCCGTAAGGAGTCTCGCCATGGCATTCTGCACCCGCTGGAGTTTCTGGGTCAGTCTCAAGGGCAGCCCCACGTAGAGCGAGTTACAATAATCCAGTCTGGAGGTGACCGTCGCGTGGATCACAGTGGCTAGGTCAGGGCGAGAGAGATAAGGGGCCAACAGCTTAGCTTGGCGGAGATGAAAAAATGCCGCCTTTGTTATAGCTGTAATCTGCGCCTCCATAGAGAGGGAGGTATCGAAGATTACACCCAAACTCTTAACGGACGGTGCTGGCACTAATTGCACCCCCGCAGGAGATGGGAGTTGCCCCCCCAATCCCATATCGTCCCGTCCCAGCCAGAGGACCTCTGTCTTCGAAGGATTTAACTTCAACCGGCTTCCACGTAACCATCCAGCCACAGCTTCCAAACATCTGGTCAGTGTGTCTGGGGCCGAGTCAGGATGGCCATCCATCAACAGATAGAGTTGGGTGTCATCGGCATACTGATGGCAACCCAGCCCAAAACTCCGGACAAGCTGGGCGAGGGGCGCATAAAGATGTTAAAAGCATCGGGAGAGTATCGCACCCTGAGGCACTCCACACACCAAGGAGTGGCGCGATGACAATTCCCCCACAAGCGCCACCCTCTGTCCCCGACCAGAGAGAAACGAGCGCAGCCATTGAAGGACTGTGCCCTAGATCCCCATGTCGGCAAGGCGGTGGTCCAGGAGTTCGTGATCGACCATGTCGAAGGCTGCTGACAGGTCTAGAAGAATCAGCAGCCCCGACCCGCCTCGATCCAGCTGCCTGCGGAGATCATCTGTTAGGGCGACCAGAGCCGTCTCGGTCCCATGACCAGCGCGGAAGCCGGACTGGAATGGATCCAGAGCCGATGTTTCATCCAGAAACCTACCAAGCTGTTCAGCAACCGCTCTCTCAATCACCTTACCCAGGAAGGGAAGATTCGAAACCGGGCGGTAATTGGATAGATCTAAGGGATCTAATGATGTTTTCTTTAAGAGCGGGCGCACCACTGCCTCCTTCAATTCCCCTGGAAATATCCCGGTGCCAAGGGACAAATTGATGATATCCCCCAGGGGGGCCCGCACCTCGTCTGGACACGCTCTAATCAGCCAAGGCGGGCACGGGTCGAGAGGACAGGTGGTGGGCTTTCCAGCTCGGAGGAGTCTGTCCACATCGGCTGGGGATATCCGATCAAAGTGGTCCAATACTGGACCCGAGGACAGTCGAGGGGCCTCCAGTTCCTTTATTGTATCCAAATTGGCAGGGAGGTCATGGCGGAGCAACAGGACCTTCTCCGCAAAAAGCTCGCAAATGCCTCACAGCTGTGTGTCAGATTGTTATTTAAATTTGGCTGTCCTTCAAGGGACGTTAAAGACCTAATTATACTAAATAATTGCGCTGGGCGAGAGCTAGCGGATGCAATGGAGGCCGAGAAGTAAGACTTCTTAGCGGCCTTCACCGCCATCTCATAGGTTTTCATAAAAACCCTATAAGATGTTCTTGAGGCTCCGTCACGGGCACCCCGCCATACTCGCTCTAGCCGTCTGAGGTCCCGCTTCATTTTCCGAAGCTCCTCGGTAAACCAGGGAGCCCGGTTTCTGCGGAGTCGCAGAGGGCGCTTAGGTGCGATCTCATCTATGGCTGCCAGGAGCTGGGTATTCCAGCCCTCAACAAGCTCAGTCAATGAGTCGCCAGGGGAGCAAGGTCCCGCAAGGCTTGACGGAATCTATCAGGGTCCATCAGCCTCTGCGGGCGAGCCCAAATCGGCTCGCCACCTAAGCAGGGTGGGGGTGGAAAGTCAATCCTGGCTTTCAGAGCGTAGTGATCAGACCATGGCACCTTAATTGAAGGAGACATGATCACATCTATACCTACGCCAAAGATCAAATCCAGCGTGTGGCCTGCTTGATGTGTGGGGCCTGAAACAAACTGGGAGAGCCCTAGTGTTGCCATGGAAGACACCAGGTCCAGAGCCTGTGAGGAGGGAGTGGCATCAGCATGGATGTTGAAGTCCCCCAATACCAATAGGTTAGGGAACTCCAAGGCCCAGCCAGCCACTGCCTCCAGCAGGCCTGACAGGGTGGCTGCTGGTGCGCTAGGTGGCCAGTACACCAGCCAGACAGCCAAGCTCACCTCAGAGCCCCACACTAGGCCAACACATTCAATGCCGGGGATCGATGGCGATGGTAGAGCCCTGAAAGGACAATCTTCCCGGATTAATAATGCCACCCTCCCCCGGCCCACAGTCCGTGACTGGTGGAGGACGGAGAAACCCGGGGGCGCCATCTCTCGTAAGGTAACTGTTGCCCCTTCGCGTACCCAGGTCTCCGTCACACAAGCCAGGTCGGCCCCCTGCGAGGTAAAGAAATCTCGCAGAGTGGCGGTTTTGTTGCCTATAGACCTGGCATTGCACAATGGAGGGGAAGGGGGAGGACGGAGGACGGCAGGTGCCCCAGATAGTCTGCAGCCGGGCTGAAGCTTGCAAGCTCCTCGCACGACCACCATGCACATCACCATCATCTTAAAGGTGCTCTTGTCCACCTGGAAATTAAACCCTCCCTCTGCAAACCTGGAGACATCAGGTCAGCCCTGAAGCTCTGGCAACCCTGGGAATGACTCCCACTGGTTCCAAGGGGGCTTCCTTCCGGGAAAGGGGCCCCAGCACTGCAGCTTAAATGACTCACCAACAACCACCTTCTGAGCATCGTAAGGTTCCATGTAGCCGTTGTTCTCAGACTCGGCCTCCTCCTCCTCCTCTTCTTTAGGCTCCCGGTGGGCGTCAAAGGGATCTGAGTATTCACTCTCTCCAGGGGCCTACGGAGAAGGAAACACGGATGGCACAAACCACCTGCTTTCTTAGACCAAAGGTTCCCAACCTTTCTTTCGTCTAGTAACCTCCTCACCAAAAAAAAAAGTTTGCAAATGTTTTTGAAATGCTGCTGATGTGGGAGGTGGCATAGGAGGCCACTTCACAGGCACTGGCCAATCAGTGCAATCCCCTCTTCAACCCAAGGGGCAACCTCTGGTGCGAGGGAAGGTCCAGGTGCAAAACGTGGGAGGAGGAACAAATGTAAATCTTGCTTTTGTACCATAGGCTGGTTTCTACACACACTTCAAGCTTGTTTTCCGCAGCTCCGGAGGGCCAGTCTCGAACCAGCAGATTCAAATCACAAGAAAGGAATTTCTGACTAAACACCAGGAAGAGCCATTTGTCAGTGGAACGGATCCCTCCCTCACGGTGGATGCTCCTTCACTGGAGGCTTTTAAGCGGGGGGGGGGGGAATTCCTGCATTCCAGGGGGTTGGACTAGATGACCCTCAGGCCCCTTCCAACTCTACACTTCTATAAGTGTAAGTTTATAAAATTAGGCATGGCATGGGAAAAGTGGATAAATAAACGTTTCTATTTATTATTTACTGAATTTATATAGTGCCCTCTACCCTCAGGTCTCAGGGCGGTTCTGTGTCTCTCATAACACGAGAACTCCTGGACATCTAACGAAGCCGAAGGAAGGAAGATTCAGGACAGACAACAGGAAGGACTTCTTCATGCAGCACCGTTAATCTATGGAACTCACTCCCACAGGAGACAGCGGTGGCCATGATCTTTGGTGCCTTTGAAAAAGAACTGGATAAATTCATGGCAGACAGGGCCGTCACCAAGTGCTCTTGCACCCGGGTCCTGCTTGCGGGCTCCCCAAAGCCATCTAGTCGGCCACTGCAAGGACAGGATGCTGGGCTAGATGGGCCCTTCCTGTGTTCTGCTGTTGGTGGCGAGTGGTTTGCCCTACAGCCACGCTTGTGGCAAAAATGGCATTGGGCAGGATCTCCCCACAGTCACTGGGGACAGCGGCTGCTGTGCTCAGCTCCTGCTTGCGCACTGGTCACTGTGAGAGCAGAATGCTGCCACCCATTGGGCCTGATCCAGCACAGCTCTTCTCATGTCCTTGAGCGCAGCCAGTTTGGCTTTATAGATGAATAATTTCTCCCCTGCTGGGATGAGCGGTTTTTGCAGGTTCCAGCAACAGGGCTGCTCCTTCTCCTTCTCCTTCTCCTTCCCCCTGGAGGGCCCCCCCTCTCCCCCTCCTGCAACGATGATGCACTCTTCTCCTTTTGTCCTAATTGCTGTTGTCCCCACCACTGCATTAGATGCGCTCAAACAGCCCGCAGAGAGGTAATGTTTTGAGAAGCAGCGGGGAAGCAAATGAGACAGGCGTATGGAAATAAGCTCTCAGCCTCTCCTCAAAGCAATTACCCTGTTCCTACCCTTTCGTGCGTGCCAATTGAGTGGCGCAGAAAGGTGCTCGATTGACGGGAGAATGGTGGGGAGAAGAGAAGGGAAACATCCCCTCCATGCACGCCACAGAGCATGATGTGCAATGTTTGGACTGCGAAATGACAGGGGTTATCCTTTGCCACTCGCTTCTCCCTGTGAGAGCCCCGGAGCAAACATAGGAACATTAGATCCTGCCTGATACTGAGTCAGACCATTGGTCCGTCTTGCTCAGTCTCGTCTACGCTCACCGGCAGCGACTCTCCAGGGATTCAGGCAGGGACATTCCCCGTTTGGAGATGGGACGGGGGGTTGATGCATGGGGGTTGATGGGGGGGGGGGAATGTGTGCAAAACACATGCTGTGCCACTGAGCTTTGGCATTTCCCAAAGCGATATTCAAGAGGCAAGACACGTTTGGCAGGCAGGCAGGCAGGCAAGGTGTTCAAAGATTTGGTCCCGCACTGACCTTAAGGAGATTTGCCAGGAATCGTCATCATCCGATGATTGTTAAATGATTTAGTCATTGTTTAGGTCACCATGGCATAAATAAAACAATATTCTGAAGGAGACCTTTAGTTTTAGACAATGCACACCCGAGTCACAACAGACAGCATCTGGGAAGAGGACTTCCATCCCATGGGAGTGGGAAAGTGTGACGTGTGCCTTCTAAAAGAACCTAAGAATAGCGTTTCCATTTCAGAAGCATACCAGAATCTGAGATTTCAGGGCCCAAACCCGAGTCTGGTGATGTCACATGGGGAACGAATGCACACCCATAATGCTCTCTTCCTTTTGAGCCCAGCCCAGGTATTTTTTCTTCCTCTGCACGCCCTCCAACCACTAAGCCTTGGAGACGGAGGTTAATTGGGAGAGGAGAGGAGCAGGGAGGGGGAGGGGACGCCCCAAGGGTCTATGAAATAAGCTGCAGCATCATGCACAGCCTTCTTGATACCTTTTTAAAAAAGCATTCTCATCCACCTGGAAATTCAGGCCCTGCACCTGCCACCAGGAGTGGGCCTGTCAACCCGGAGACTTCTGTCCATCCCTGGAGGTCTAGTAACCCTACCTAGGGAGAGAAGAGGAGCCTGTCTAGGGCAGCACCTCATTTCTGCCAGTGGCCTTTGAGAAACTCATAAGCAAAGCATGAGTGTCAAGTAAGGACATAGAAAGACAAGAGCCTGCTGGGTTAGGGCAATGGCCCATCTGGTCAGCAGCCTGTTCTCACAGGGGCCAGCCAGAGTCCTCATGCAGGACCGAAGCGTGAGAGCAACGCTCTCCCCTCCTGCAGTTTCCAGCCACTGGGATTCAGAACTGTTGCTGCTTCTGACTGCGGAGGGAGAGCTCAGTCACTATGGCCAGTAGCTGCTGGTCCCCTTCTCCCACCCCCAGCCCCTCCCACTCATGGTCTCCATCCACTGGTCTTCAGAGATGTATGTGACCTCTGACACTAGAGGGAAGAAGAAGAAGAAGAAGAAGAGGAGGAGTTTGGATTGGATATCCCGCTTTATCACTCCCCTTCAGGAGTCTCAAAGCGGCTAACATTCTCCTTTCCCATCCTGCCCCACCACAAACACTCTGTGAGGTGAGTGGGGCTGAGAGACTTCAAAGAAGTGTGACTGGCCCAAGGTCACCCAGCAGCTGCATGTGGAGGAGCGGAGACGCGAACCCAGTTCCCCAGATCACGAGACTACCGCTCTTAACCACTACATCACACTGGTAAAAAGGTAAAGGTAAAAGACTCCTGGACAGTTAAGTCCAGTCAAAGGCGACTATGGGGTTGCGGCGCTCATCTCGCTTCAGGCCAAGGGAGCTGCCATTTGTCCACAGACAGCTTTCTGGGTCATGTGGCCAGCATGACCAAACCGCGTCTGGCGCACGGAAGACCGTGACGAGTGCCAGAGAGCATGGAAACGCCGTTTACCTTCCCACCGTAGTGGTACCTATTTATCTCCTTGCACTGGCGTGCTTTTAAACTGCTATGTTGGCAGGAGCTGGGGCAGAGCAAGGAGAGCTCACCCCATCGCAGGGATTCGAACCGCCCACCTTCCGATCAGCAAGCCCATGAGCCTCAGTGGTTTAGACCACAGCGTCATCCGCGTCCTGGCACTAGAGGTACTACATGTCCATCACTAGCTTTCTCCTCCAAGAATTTGTCTTAAGCCCCTTTCAAAGCCATCCAGGCTGGTGGCATAGATCCTGCGGAAGAGAATTCTACCGTCTGTCTGTGTCTGTGCCCTGAAACTTCACTGCATGACCCCACTGGGTGCTAGTAGGATAAGAAAGGGAGAGTAATGCCTCTTTATTCACCTTCATGATGCCCTGAATGATTTTACCTGCCTCTTTCTGCCCCTCCTTCCTCACCTCTTTTCCAAACCAAAAAGGCCCCTGTGTTGCTCCCTCTTCTCACTGGGGAGTCACTCCCCCCCAAAAATCATTCTGGCCGCCCTTTTCTGAACCTTTTCCAGCTCTGCAATCTCTTTTTTGAGGAGCAAATGCCAGAACTGAAGACACAGTATTCCAAATGCAGCAGCGCCACAGATTTGTATTGAGGGAATTACGATATTGGCAGTTTTATTTTCGATCCCTTTCCTAAGGAGCGAGGCATCCGACATCCCTGGATTTGTAAGGACTTAACCTTCCTGTCTCTGCTGTAGATTTTGCTCCCTCCTTTCCCCCAAAATGTATTGGGCTCTTTTATTTTCTTTTTCTTACTGTCCACATTTCATCTTATATAATGTTTGCTTTTGGGGCTGCCGGATTATGTGAATTGCCTTTGTGTTAAAATTATTTACAAATAGAAAAGACAATAAAAAGAAGTTTTAGAAAACAAACACTGCTGCCAGGTTCATTGGAGCGCCTTTTAAAAACTGATCAATAGATTTTGAACCAGTTAAATTAATCAGCTAAACGCTGCAGTCCTAATTTCCTTGCTACGCCACAGCTTCTAAAATAGGAGCTGCCATTGCCATAGGGAGAAGAGCAGATCACAGCCTAAAGGTGCTAGATTGATTTTCTTCCTTAGAGGACTGGAAAAGTAAGGTCTTGTGGCACTTACCCAACTTCCTGTCTCTGGGGGGGAAGAAACAGGTTCAGCAGGCTTTTGTGTTGTTTCCCAAAACCTCCACAACCTGTTTCCCCCAAAGAATACTGGAACTGTGGCTTGTCAAGGGTGCTGGGAACCGCAGCTCTCGGAGGGGTAAACTACAGTTCCCAGGATCCACATGTGGTGTGGATGCAGACCAGGTATGGAGACTCTCCAGATGTTGGCGGACTGAGCCCCAATTCCCATCAGCCCCAACACACCTGGAAGGAAGAAGTCAGACATCTGGAAGGCCACAAGTTTCCCCATCCCTGCCTTAGAGTAAGAATTCGCAGAATACTCCATGCCTTTTTAGAAAAGGTGAAAGGCTGCGTGGACAGAGAAGGCCTTGCAAACTCACGCTTCTCTCTTTTGGACCATGTTGCAGATTTTCTTTCCTCAGTGACCACTCGAATCGCCAGGTCAGGAGCATCCAGGACCCTGAGATTTCAGGGCCAAAACCTGGGACTCTGGGGAGACTGCTGGTGGCGTCATGGAGGAAGGTCTACACACACTTTGCAACCCTCTCCTCCTCTGGAACCCAGCCCAGTTCTTTTCCTGCGCTGGCCCAACTGCGCTGGCTGCCAATTAGTTTCCGGGCCCAATTCGAAGTGCTGGTTTGAACCTCAAGAACCGCTTCTCCCCATATGAACTGACCCTGCCATCATACTCCGAGACCCTTTTCCATGTGCCTCCTCCACAAATTGTCTGGAGAGAACAGGGCCTTTTCCACAATGGCTCCCCATTTGTGGAATGATCTCCCCAAGGAGGTTCGCCTTTGGCTGATTGACAACCGATGCCCTTTTGAATGTGATGTGGAAGGGGAAATTATTGGTTTGTTTTGCTTCATATTTTCCTTATATACTTTGTGTTTTTCACATTGTAATTTTATGTTGTGGACCACCCTGAGATCTGCAGGTACAGTGGACGCTCAGGTTGAGAACATAATCCGTGTGGGAGGCATGTTCGCAACCCGCAGTCAAGGGTCGTGATTCAGCGCTTCTGTGCATAGCGCGATTTAGTACTTCTGCGCATGCGCGAGACCAAAACCTGGAAGTAACCTGTTCTGGTACTTCCAGGTTCAGCACGGTGCGCAACCCGAAAATGCACAACCTGAAGCGTCTGTAACCCGAGGTATGACTGTATAGGACTGTATACAAATAACGATAATAATTTGCTTGTGTGCTTCCTCCTCATGGAATCATAGACATATAGAACTGGAAGGTGCCCTGAGAGTCCTCTACTCCAACCCCCACAAGGCAGGAATGTCAACGGAAGCATCCATGACGGATGGCCACCCAACCTCTGCCTGAAAACCTCCAACAAAGGAGAGTCCACCACCTTTGAAGGTTGTCTGTTCCACTGTCAGGCGGCTGTCACCATCAGGAAGTCCTTCTGAATGGTCGCTCAGAATCTCCTGTCCTGTCCTTTGAATCTCTTAGTTCGGGTCCCAGCCTCTGGAGCAGCAGAAAATAAGCTTGCTCCATCTTCCATGTGACAGCCCTTTAGATGGGTCTACTCTGAGTCAAATTTAATTAGCTGCAGACAGTGAGGCTAATGAGGACACAAAGTCCACAGGGGAAAGGTACAAAGAGGAGCCTGTGATCTTCTTCCTAGGGTGCAAAATTATTTGTCAAACACCTGCCTCTGCCTATCTGAGAGATATAAAGAGGGGTGAAGGGAATCCCTCCAGGGCAATTAGCACCTCCTGTGAATCACTGCTGTTCAAAAAGAGAAAGAAAAAACCCACACCAGCTTAGCTGAAAATGTTCACTTGGCAGAAAAGAGAGAGAGAAACCAGAACTTTGCTTTAATTGTCTGTTTTCCCTGCCTCGCACATTGCCATGCACACAGCTCTCCTGGGATTACTGGACGTGGTCAAGAGCATCGCCTCAGACTTCACCAGGAAAAAGTGCACCTCGTTGCATTTCTGGCAAGGAAGCTCATTGCATGCCAGCAGCACCAGCAGAGTTCTGGAAGGATCTCACACAGAGCCAGCTGGGAGGAGTGGCTAGAGAGCTGGCTCGGCTGGGAGAGACCTGGGTTCAAATCCCCTAACTTGGTCATATGGCCGACTTTGGGCCACAGTCCAAATTTCTCAGTCTCCCAGTCTAGGGTTGTTATGCGGATAGGAAGAGAGCCATTTCCGCCATCTTAAGCTCCTAGGAGGGAGGAGAGAGGGACACAAATGTGACAAATAAACAACAAAATAAATAATATATATGGATCTGAAAGACTGATATGATAAAATCTGGCATATAGCCTTGCTGAGGGAACTCTCTCATCAGCTGCATGTGACAAGGGGGAAACAGAAAGAGACCATTTGTGGCCTTTCAGTCTCCATTCAGTCATTCATTTATGAGAAAAGGCAAGTAAGAGGGGACTTGATAGAAGTTTAGCCATGGGGAAGAGAAAACTGAGAGGTGACATGTGAGCCATCTTCAAGTATCTGAACATGGGTCAGCAAACTAAGGCCCGGGGGCCAGATCTGGCCCAATTGCCTCCTGGATCCGGCTCGCAGGCGGTCCAGGAATCGCTGCATGGATCGGCATGAAGCGGATTCTGATCATTCGGGCTGTGCCATTCCCCCCCCCCACACCCCCCCCCCCGTGGCGGCGCCTCTTCCCTCCCTCCTCCTGGCTTCTCCCTGCCCTGCCTAGAGGAGGAAGGGGGCTGGGCTTTGTTGGTGCCAGCCCCTCTCCAGAGCCCTTTTGCACGCCACTCATCCTCCCTCCTCTGCCACTGCCGCCAGTCCCTGCTGCTCGCAAGACACAGGAGCCGTGGCTGGCTGAGCGCCCCTCTCGAGCCGCCACCATTTAAAGCAGCCCCTCTCAGGAGCCCCTTCGCATGCCGCTCGTTGTCCCTCGTTCATTTCCCCCCCCCAAAAAAAAAACAGTCCGGCCCCCCACAAGGTCTGAGGGACAGTGGACCGGCCCCCTGCTGAAAAAAAATGCCAACCCCTGGCATAGAAGATGGAGCAATTTTTCTTTGGGGGGGGGGAGGATGCAAACCCATGGATTCAAATGATGAAGAAAGAGATTCCAACTCAACATTAGGAAGAATTTCCTGCTGGTAAGAGCCATTTGACAGTTGACAGACACCGTCAGAAGGTAGTGGACTTTTCTTTGCTGGAGGTTTTAAAGCAGAGCTTAGATGACCATCTGTCCAAGATGACCCTTTTCTATGATTCTAAGAGGCATCATCTGGCAGCAGTAGTGTTTTGGCTGCACTTGAACCACAGTTAGGAAGGTCTCCCAAGGAAATGGCATATTCCCTCCTGCTGAATCATTAAGATATCTTTCCTATTCCAAAAAGTAAAAACCAAAAAGGAAAATGGCCCACCTGTTTCAAACTGAGGCTACTTTTCTTCTAGATAATGGCAGGATTTTTTATCACGCACTTACGCCTCAGCCTTGAATCAGCTGCAAACCTACAGAACTTTTTATGGCTTCAAAGCCAAAAGGGATGCTAGGAATTGCAGCTTCCTGTGAAGGCCCAGAGCTTGCAGAGAACGCTTGAAGCAATGGCATAAGCCAGCTTCCTCTGCTCCTGTTTAAATCAACCCTGGGTTTAATGAGGACTAGGATCTTACTTTCAGGGGAAGGGCCATCACTCAATGGCACACTTTGCATGCAAGAGGTTCCAGACTGGCAGAAAGTGGTCTATTCAAGGTTCACATGTCTTTGCTATAAACCGCGGATCAGCACAGCACCTGGCAGAAGCAAGATTTGAACCCAGCTCCTCCTGATTTGCAGCTGCGATGCTACGCCACCTTTTCAGTTCAAGCTTTTCTTGAGGACTAGAATCATAAACAAGTCACCAGCATAACAGCTCATCCTAAGATTGGCTGCCTCAGCTCTTGATGACCAGAGCATCTGCGTTGTTGACCTGCACGTCTAAATAACCTGCTGTGGATCAAATTTCACAGACTTAACTTTTTCACATCTCCTAAAATACTTTTTTTTGTTGTTTTAAAAATAAGTTGACTTGTACATGTATACAAGGATCCGCCATTAATTTGCCCTGGGTCACCACTGCATATTTTATTGTCCAGTAGATTTTTACTGATGCTTTGCACACAGACAACCCAAGGATCCTGGAAACTATAGTTTAGCAGTGTTTGAAATTAGCCAGGCGCCAGGTGCATTTTGCACCTGGCTTTCAACCACTTCTGACCACGTGAAGATGGCCAGGTGCCAGGATGGCGCCTGACCCCTCCCCCATCTGGGGATCCCTGGATCGGGACTGTTTTCACACACTAGAACCCCATCCTGTAGAATTCTATCCATTATATTTTATTTGCACAATCGGAATGAATTTCAGGAACCAAAATGCTTTTTCTGTGCAGCCTGAGCAGGAGCAGGGAACAAAGTTATAGTGAATTGTTGTCACTTGTCTTCGCTCCCCCGCCCCCCGCCCAGCTCAGAGGTGTGAAGCCTATTCCTGCGTTATGAATGGTCCGTGTCACCATTAAGAAAAAGAGGTCAATAGATATGTGGACTGGATAAAGTGAGTTTTCTTTTCAAAGTTCTCAAAGCTCTTATCCTACCTCAAGGTTGTCATCTGCACTAGCCAGATGTTTAACTGAGAATCAATCACAGTCAGTCCATCATTTGAAAAATAAGATTTTAGAGTCGTCTTGCCCCCAAATGGCAACTAGACGTTCGATTTTGCTTACTGAAACCTAGCTTATATATCTGAGGTTTTTTACACTGGTTAAGGGTGCTGGGAATTGTAGCTTGGGGTAAACTACAGTTCCCAGGTTTTTATGGGGCGTGTTTTTTTTATTGACCACCACCTTGGAGAACTGCAAGGAAGGCAGTATAAAAAGGCTTCCATACCTGAAACAGTTAAGTGCCAGTCATCAAATGCCTGGTAACCAAGTAAGATTACTTGTCTGTGTTTGAATGAATGCTTCAAAGCCACCCTTTGAATTGGAAAAGTTAACTTTGTAGATTTCAGTCCACCCTTTGGCATTCCCAGAAACACACCATTTCTTACACCAAATCAGTTCCGTAGTTATGAGGACTAGAAACTTAGTATTTTGCGGGGTGGGGGAGGGGAGGGAGAGAGACTTGCAAAAATTAGGATGTGCAAGATTGCATTTAAGAACCGTGCTGCAAAACGGCACAGATCCTGGGGGTTGCTTGCAAAAGGGGCCTTGTGTTTCACATACCTGATCTGGCTGGGTCGTCACCTCCTCAGCCGCCAGGAGGGCTTTGCTCCTGTTCAGGTCAGAAGCTTCCACTTTGATGAGCCTGTGCTTGGGGGAGCCATACTTCCCTTCCAAACTGACTCCTGCAGCAGCAGCAGTGGCAGCAACCCCTTTGTTTGGGGACCCTTCTGAGTCCGGATCAGGCTTCCCGTTGCCATCTTCGTAGGGATCCTCAAAATCCAAGCTCTTCTGAGCTCGGTAGGCTTTCAAGATCTCACTTTCGGTGTAATCTGGTTTGGGGGGCTGTGGGGGAGACCTCCTGCTCCCAAAACTCAAGTAATCCTTAAACCACTTGGCCATTTGTCCCCCTTGCCCAACGACAAAGCCGCTGATCCCTCTTGGCAGAAGACGCCAAGCCTGAAAGGAGAAAGGAGTCTCCAACGGCACCCAGCTAATCCTTCATGGGTCAACGTGATTCATAATCCAAATCAGGAGTCGTCCGCCTTGTCTGCACCTGCCTTTAAGAGATGGGAAAGAAAAAGAGCAGCAGTTCTGGTGTTATTACAATCTGAAATATACCCAGTTGAAAAAGACATTCTGGCTTTCTGTAATCCTGTGTTCTCTGTAATCCAAGCGTGTCTGATGGTGTTGTGAGGGCGGGGAGGGGGGAGACTGAAAGCAACCTCAACCCACATGCCATCAGCTCAGGGAGGAATTACTCCTGTCCTGGGGGGAAATAAGATATCTGGAGCATAACTGAGGTTAGTGGCTTAAGAGGCTGACCTACAAATCAGGAGACTGTGTGTTCATTGCAGATTTGGGCAGGTCATTATCTCACCACCTCCCCCACTCCTAAATACCTCACTGGGTTGTTGTGGGGATATGACTGACATAAATCACTCTGGACAACCCGGGGGGGTGCTCCAAAATGTGTCCCAGGTGCCAGACCTCATCTCTGCCCAGGTCTGGCCTGCCTTAAGCAAACTCTCAACCTCCGGCTTGGAAATATGAGGACCATCAGACTTGCTGTCTGTTGTTGTAAGGATCACCAAAATAAATACACAGAACCTGATGCGTGCAAATCACTCTGAACTAGAAGTTTTGCGATGCACTATCCATTTCAAGTCAAGGTTTCTTGCACAGGAAAATGATTCTGATGGATCTCACCTCTGGGCTTTTAGGTATCAATGCCCAAATGGAGGCAGAGGAGACACAGTAAATGGTTATTTAGTAGGGAAATTAATCACTAGGCACCCCCCACCCCCCCTCCCCAGAGACCCACATTCTCAAGCTTTGCAAAATATAAAGTTACATCTCTATGCTGCCTGTCTCAGCCAAAGTTTTTTTTCCTCTCCTCAAAAATGTCCAAAGAATGAGTTTTATATTTGGGGAAGGGGCTTTGAGGGGGGGGGGAGCGTTGAGATGCATTCAATTCTAACTGAAAATACTGTATATCAGACCAGCCACAACACACACACAAACCAACCTTCCAAACCCCACAGTTCGTAATGGACACACCAGAAGAGAAACTCCAGTGAGCTCACTGGGGCTTACTCCTGAGTAAGCATGCAAGAGAAGCAGGCTGGTAGCAATCATCCTAGAACTGAGGGCGGCTTACTTCAGAGTAGATCTGCTAGATTGAGGACCCCCCCCCCCATAAGACGAGCACCTCCACAGACAGCCTCGTTTGGGTCAAAAGGTAGCTCCCTCCCCCAAAGAGTCTTAGGATTATAGCCAAGAAAATTTTACTCAGAGTAGACCCACTGAAAGTAATGGGCCTAAATTAGGCACGTGCCTTAATTTCAATGGGGAGACTCTGAGCAGGACCTTATTTACGAGGCAGAATTCTAGACGCGTCTACTCAGAGGTAAGCCCAGTTGAACTCAGGGCTTTTACTCTCAAGTAAACTGTAGCCTTAATCAAAATTCATTTTTTTAAAAAAAAAGCCCTAAAAGGGGTTTAGGATACTAAGGTCTTACTAAGGTCGTTCTGACCTACTCAGAATCAAGTCCCACTGATTTCAATGGGGTTTACTCCCAAGTAAGGATCTGTAGGATTGTAGCCTTAATTTTTAAGTATTTACTTTGTTCAGAATGAATGGGGGAAAAGAGCGAGAAAGAAGACATTTACCAGTTTCTTTTGATCCGAGGGGAAATTCAGCCAAAGGTGATTTTCTGGGGTAAAAACATATTTATTATTCGAAAATGAAAACAAACGCCGCACCATTTAAGGACTCATCCAAAACCCCTTCCAGGATCAGCCAGTCCTATTCCTGCGGGTCCAGGCACCTCCTTCAAGTCCATTCACACAAAGTTGAGGAGTTATTCTTATTATTTGAAAAATAAATTTGTAGAGGAGATCAAAACGACCGTCTTCTTTCCCCTTCTTTGTCCGTACCGGCTCTCCTAGTTTTATTACCACCCCCCCCAAAAAAAATGCAAACAAAAACCTTCCTTTCCTGATTTATGTCCCCTGCTAGCAATATTCTTTGGGGGCGAAGATAACACAGAGGGAGAAAATGAAGATGGATCCAATCAGATCCTAATCCGGGCAGACCCTCCTGCAAATCAAAAGCAACATTGTCCCACCACTCTGCGGAGAGGCAGGCGAAGGCACACGCCATCCCATAATTTTGCTAGTCTGTGGCTGGTGGCGCTTCCATTGATCTGTTGCAAAGAGAGCCCAAAACAAAACACACAAAGCGAGAGAGAGAGAGCAGGGATCTTTCTTTGGAAGGGAAGAAGAAAAGATGGGGAGGAAGGAGGGGGGAAGAAAAAGAAATTAAAAAATGCTCCTCAGCCAACCAAGCCCCTTTGCGGGCTCCCCGCTCCCCACCCCTTTTTCCGAGGGAGATCTGCAAAAGCTGGTCTGGAGAAGCAGAAACTTTCAGCTGAGTAGCTGCTCTGGGTTGCAATATTTCGAGATGCCTTTTTTTAAGGGGGGGGGGGAGCCTTACTCCGCTGGGGATTATCCAGATGTGGGGGGGGGGTCCTCGGCTGGGGATTACGCAGAGATGCTCCGCATCACCCTCAACCAGCCCTAAAATAACAACAAGCAAAGACGCACACTGTATTTACCTTTTTCTTAGTAAACCTTCCTGCTGTGTGTGTATATGTGGTGCATGTGTGTATCTAAATATGATGATGATGATGAAAACACACACACAAACTTCTTTTTCACTTTTTTGTTCTTGCTGCTTTGGGTTTATATTGGAAAATATAGCTTAAAAATGAAAGATCTGGGGATGATTCAGAGATATTTCCCGCTTGTTCTGTGTGTGTAAATATATTGTTGTTGTTATTATTATTCTTAATCGAATACACACACAAGCCCAGTCAAACCTACCAGATGTAAACAGCAGCAGCTCAGATCTCAAAGCAGCAGAGAAAAAGGAATGAAGGGAAAAGAAGAAAAGGAGGAATCTTTTCTCTTTCCTCCCATTTTTCTCTCTTTCTTGGGAAATTGCAAGCTTCAAAGGGGGGGGTAACAGGTTGCTGGTATCTTTTTGGTGGGTTTTTTTTGAAAACGATTTGGAAAGGGAGAGGGAGGAGAAGGGGAAAGAAAGGGGGAATCTGGGGAGGGCGATTGCTGTCTCTGCAGCTCAGGAGAGGAGCATCTTTTGCACGACGCGACATAGCAGCGCTTAACTCGAAGGAGTTTTATTTTTTCTTAGGCCCCCCCCCCTTGCATATTTTCATTGAAGCCTGGGTTGCGGGGGGAGGAGGAGAGTGAAGGTTAAAGAGTCCTTCAGCTTCGGTGGGTTTAGCGTGGGGGTGGGGAGAAGCCATCATCCAGCCGCCGCCCCCCCGGTTCCTTTGCAGTTATTTTTTATTTCGATGGTGGGTGGGTGGAAATTAGCTTTTATTAAAAAAACGTAATGAACATTTGCTTGGGGGGGGGGCTGTATTTCTGTCTTCCGGCTCCTGGTCTCAACATGGCTTGCAAAAAATAGAAGGGGGGGGGGAGTCAAACTCGCAAGGAGAACAAAGGGTAAAACGTGTGAGTGGGGCAATGAAAACTTGTGCGTAAAACGTGCCTGCCTATTTCACTGGCCTCCCTTTTCAAAGAGAGGGATCGAGGCCTCTGTGTGTAAGAGAGAGAGAGAGAGAGAAGGAGGGAAAAGGAAAAAGAGAATCTTTGTGTTTCTCCCTGTGTGAAAGAGTGAGAGAGAAATGTGTGCGTGGAAGAGTTTGCTGAGAGACTGTGTCTTTCTGTCTGGGATGGTGCCAGAGGGGCAGAGGGAGCTTCCCATATACCTGCAGGACCCCATTAAGAAGGGGCAGAAGAGGGCAATTAACATTTTGGCATCTTACCCTAGTCCATTTCACCAGAATAAAACTTTCCCCCTTTTTATTCTACAAGGTGAGGAGAGTGAGGGGGAAACCTTTCAGCCACTTCTCTGCCCTACAATTAATTTTGCGGGGGGGGGGAGAAAGAGACCTGCCTCTCTCCCACCAAGAAGCCATTTCCAAATTGGGGGTGGGGGGGTGGGTTTGAAACTGGTGAAAATGATGGAAGGGGGGAACCATTGGAGATTAAGCAGATTTTTGAAGGATAAGGAAGACCGCACACTCCTTCATTAAGTAGCTGGGTTTATGTGGTTCTGTTTAAAATAAGTGAAATAAGAAATTCTTTTAATTCTTTTGATGTACTGGAGTTCTTTTTGTGCACACAACACCCCCCAAAAAGGGACTCTAAAATATTTGAAGAAGTTGTTGTTGACAGAGAAGCTCCACCTCTGTTTTGGAGTGAATGCATCTGGGTTTGTACTGCATATGAAATTTCCCAAAGAAAGAAAGGGAGACTTCATCCTAGAAGGGGAGAGAGACTAGATTAAGGCATCACAACTGTGTGTGCGACACACACATAGCTATGATGCCTCAATCCATTCTTACAACCCCACTATCCCTTTAAATAGCAAAGGAGGAGAAACATCCTATTTCCCAGTAATCTGACCCAACCGTTTCTGGCTCTTGAATGTCACCCGCCTGTTCCTCTTAAGGATGGTGGGCGAAATTGATTGGGAAAGAGGAGGGGGAGGGAAGCTGGTATTGATCGGACTGCGAGGCCCATTCAGCAACCTCCCCCCCCCACTCTCCCCTTAACACTAAACCCCCAGAGAACGGCTCCCCTCTTCCCCTCCCCACTTTGCCTTTAACCATACAGTACTTAATGGGCATTTTGTAGTTTCGATTTCACTCCCCCCACTCCCTTGGGGCAGCTGGGGGGGCTGATATTGACCATCAGATGGGAAAGAGGGGGGGGGATGTCCGCACAGACAGAGGGGAGAGGGGGAAGTCAGAGCTGAGAGATTTTCCAGCCTCATCTTTCGGAGGGGACCCACACACACACACACACACACACACACACACACACACACACACACACACACAGCCTGCCTGCCTGCCTGCCTGCCTGCCTCTGGTTAGACAGGGGACATTTTGCTCCAGGGATCTCTGCCTTGTAGTTTTTACAACCTTGCTAGGATTTAGAGATAGGTAGATGGATAGACAGGTGGAGAGAGAGATGAACAGATAGATAAGTAGAAAGACAGATAGAGCAGAAGATAGATGAAAGATAGATAGATAGATAGATAGATAGATAGATAGATATAGAAGAGTGAGAAATGGATTGGAGAGAGAGAGAGATGGTTCATTGTCCAAAAAAAGCAGAGATATGGGGAAATAAAAAAGAGGGACACCTGCAGGCAAATGGAGACGGAGAGAGGTGTGTCGGATTGTTTGTTTCAGGCAAGAATTTTTTTGGGGGGGGGATGAATGGAATTAAAAAGTCTGCTCCAAGGATCCAGATACCTTCACTGACTGTGAGAGAGAGAGAGAGATCATCAGAAGATAATAATTCCAAGGTAGCCCAGGGCCTTTCGCCTTGGGAGGGAGACACAGGCCCCCCTGGCTGCTTCCTTCTTGGCTGTGCTCTTGCCTGCACAGCTGGAGGGGGGGCTCTTGCCCTGGGGTCCTCTTAGAGGGTTTCCCAGTGGGGCATTTCAGTGGCACTGAGAGAGGCAGATGCCAGACAGGATGAGGCCCCCCCTTAGGCCTGATCCAGGAGACTCTGCTTATATTCTTAGGTGTTCTCCCTCCCTTCTCCACAAAACAGGCGGACCAGCAGTAGGAAGAAGGCTCTCTCATTACAGAGTTTGGGTTTGTTTTTTTAACCCCTTACCCATAGGGTTGAGCAGATCTGACAATCTCTATTTCTCAGTTTTTTATTCCCCCTCCCCATAGATGTAGCCACGATTTTTGTTAGGGATCAGGCCTTTGTTAGTGGGGACAGGCCTTTTGTTGGGGGGGCAGAACCTCAGTTAGCCATGTATTTTTTTATTGGGGGGCAGCCCGTGTGTCCTCCCCCCAATCTTTTAAGATCGGCTCTCCTCACTTTCACATCAGCTGGCAATTTTTAAAATAAAAGTCCTCATGAAAGTTCATCAGAATCTTAGTGCCTACTACTCAGAAAACATACATTTGTGTAGGCACTTTCCCCTAATATACTCTCTCTCTCTCTCTCTCTTTATTGCAAAGTAGTTGCCCCAAATATAACACACTTTCACCTGTTATCTGTTATATAATTCCTGGGGATGCCAGGACTGAACCAGGGACCTTTTGCTCCACCGCTGAGCTACAGCCCTGACCTGCTGTGGTCCTTCTCTGTTTCAGACCCTGAACCTGCCTCTGGCCCACAAAGACTGACAGTCTCCACCCTCCTGGTCCCCAACAGACCACGGCTTGGTAGTCTCTCGGCACTACACCATTTAAGTAAATGTTACTGGACTACAACTCCCATCATCCGTACCCATTGGCCATGCTTGTTGGAGCAGATGCAAGATGGAGTCCCCATCCCTGATGTATAGAGATGCTTACAGACCTATCTCCATTATGGCCAGGCCTACCGCTGGGTAGGGCAGGAGGGGGGAACCTTTGGGCCTCAGCTCCAAACAACAGCTGCCATCATTCCTGGCCAGGGGTTGGCAACCTAAGGCCAGGGGGCCAGATCCAGCCCAATCGCCTTCTCAATCTGGCCCGCAGACGCTCCAGGAATCAGCGTGTTTTTACAGGAGTAGAATGTGTCCTTTTATTTAAAATGCATCTCTGGGTTATTTGTGGGGCATAGGAACTTGTTCATCCCTCCCCAAATATAGTCTGGCCCCCCACAAGGTCTGAGGGACAGTGGACCGGCCCCCTGCTGAAAAAGTTTGCTGACCCCTGGCCCTGGCCATTGGCCATGCTTGCTTAGGCCAGTACAAAGGGAGGGCCAAAGATTCCCAGTACCTGATTTAAGAACTTAATTATGTGGTTGGTTCAGGTTTGTTGGTTTGTTTGTTTTTAAAAGATTAAAATTTCTCTCTGGGCTGCAGCTGCATGGGCTGGATGTGGTTGGTGGGAAGATGGTCAGAAAAGTCACCTGTGTCGGCATCTGTCTCTCGAGAGACAATGCAGTGCGCCTCTGCGGTTGTGCTAGCAGCACCCAAGTGCCCTCCCAGGGATGCAAGCCTGGGCAGTGCGCATGGCGGTCATGGGTCACCCAGATGACAAGATGGGGTCCAAAGGAAAACGCCACCCAACCGCCTTAGGGACTGGGGTAGAGTTGACTCCTGAGCCTTTTCCTCTCCCGAAGATGTTCTACAAGGCAGCGGAGGTAGAGGACCAGAGTTTTCCTTCTCTGAGATGGGCTCGCTTCCCAGGTGGATGAGCCCCGTCCGCCCTCTCTGGGCAGGCAAGTGAAACTGATTGTGCCCGAAATTACTTGGGAAGCTGGTTCAGTCAATTCCACAACTCTCTTCGTTGAACTGCATGGGGAAGATTTCATACAGAATTAGAAAAATGTACAGAATGTTGGGGTGGTCCTTTGCATGGGCAACAATGAGGCAAAATGGAGTGAGTTGTGTGTGGAGCAGCATTGTGGGCCGTGGCACGTGCTTCAGGTGCCCAACTTGGCCCAGGCTCCAATGGAGCCATCATCACAAACCAGGACACCTCTGGCTCCTGATGCCCAGAAGAAAACAGAGGAAGCGAGAGAGGGAGGAAAGGGCATTGAAAGGCAGAGTCAAGAGGGTGAAATCACTCCAAAATGCCTGAGAGTTGTTTAAAAGCACAACATTAGGAAGTCAACTGGGGTGGCTACCACCAAGAGGACACCAGCGTGGTTGAAAAGCAGCGTCGAATAAGCTATGGAAGGCAATAAGGCTTTCTTCAAAAAACCAAAGTCTTGCCCAAATGAAGAGAACAAAAAGGAACACAAACTTTGTTTTTGAGTTTTTTAAAGCAAGCAGACCTCCAAGAATACCTTCCAGCATACTGAGTCTATGAAATCCAGCTCTGAGCTAAAGTTTTTGCATGTGTTTGTGTGTGTAATTTTGAGTGGGGCAACAAGAGCTTCTGCTGAGAAGGAAAACACACTCTCTACCACCACCACCACCAGACAGCAGTCTTGATTCCATGTCATCTCTTGTGACATATAGCGCAATGATGCTCATAACAGGAGAAAGTGGCAAATGGTGATTGATGAAGAGACATCAATGCCTGAAGCAAGATGTCCCCAGCCAAGCAAAGGGGGGAAAGCGAGACGGGGGGGGGGGGTATCGTTAAGGCAACAACACCCCTCGTTTCCCAAGCGGATGTTTCCTATTCCATGGTGTGGCGAAAGCATCTTCTGCAAATAAAGCCTGAAAGTCTGGGTAGTTTTCCCATTTGTATAAATAGCGACCAGGCGGAAGGGCTGGCAGAGATCTATAAAATAATAATTTAATAAATGCTGCAGAGAGAAAGCAAGGAAAGAATCCACTAGTCTCTTCCCAGGATATCCTGCAAATGGGCAAAAGGAAGTGCCTTCATTGTGGTACACGGGATTAATCTATGGAACTCACTGCCACAGTGTTTTGTATTTATATATTCTTTTTAAATAAATATCAGCACAGGTAGGTTTTTTAAAACCCACTGCAATGTAATGACAGCCTTACAATTTTATGTATGTAGGAAGATAAGCATAGGGTTGGGTTTTTAAACCAGGGCTTGAGACCTGGGAATGGAATTTCCTGGCTCAGGGTCACTATCCACCACCTGGGGCACATCATCTGGAACTTCTCACTTCATCTGGAACCGTGCAAGTTTCATTTCAGTGGGGTTTTTGGCAGTCCATGGCCCCCAAAATCCTTTCCTGGAAGCAGGGAGCAATCGGGGTGCAATAGCTTTCAATTCGGGTTGAAAACCAGAACCTCATAGATAAAGAGGGGAGGAGGAAACAGCTTCTAAAACCCTTGTGTGTGTTTTGGGTAATGTGCTCTTCGACAAGGGTGAAACCTTTGACATTATGGGATGATCAAGGAATTGCTTTTAAACACACACAGTGATATTGCATTTTGGGATATTCCAGCTTTGGGCTTCCTGTATCCCTATCTGGAAGCATCCCATAATAAACTGCAATATGATGTTTCCTTTTTCCCACTGCACCCAGTGTCTTGAACTCCCTTTATTACTCCCTTTCTTTGTCAAGGATGTACTTTTATTTTATTTTTTTACTAATCAAATAAAGCCTCGCTCGTTTAGCATCCACAAAACAAAACGTTTCACCAGGCACATTTTCCACCAAAAATAAACTATTAAATTGAAACAAGAGATGCTGGCTTCTTTCAGTGTTTCCAAACTGAATAAATCTTGATTTCCCCGTCCTTCTGGGGCCTTCTCCTCTTCTAAAGCAGAGGTTTCATCTTCTTAAAAAACCTTTTGTTGTTATTCTTAATCCAGAATATTCCCCAACCCCCTCCAGATTCCCCCTGAGCTGTCTCGGATGCTGTTTGCCTCAGCCACGACCCCGATGTCGGTCGCCTTTGTACTTCGCGTTCATAAAAGAATCCTGTTGCCTGTCATACAGACGCCCCCAGGAACGTAATATATTCCTTTCCCCCCTTCTTTTTTTAGAAGCTGTGAACAAAGAATTGCACAGCCTCTTCTCACCCAGCGCCCCAGCCCCAGCCACCTTTCTGAAGGGAATAACCATAAAAGCAGCTAATTGTTCTATTTATGAGCGCTGCTGGAAAGACATGAAGTGGGGTTTGGGGACAGAGAGAGAACAGAAGGAGGATGGGGAGGGAAAGGACCATCCGTCCCCTTCTTGACAGTTCTCATCGAATAGAAATGCCAGGTCTCTCTGCAAATACCCACCAACTTCCAACGCAATAATTTTTGAAGAGGGCTCTAATTACAATTTGTACGCCGAGAATGTTAATCGCTCGGCTAACAGGAAAATCAAGAAGCATCTTTTCATCTCCCTTAAACGTGAGAGGTTAACATCTCCGCAGTTGCATCCCTGCCGCCTCTGTTCCTCTTAAGTTGACAAGAGCCCCTGTTTACAGAGGGTTTTTTTTTTAAAAAAGAAAACACTGTGAAGGTTAATTAGTTTGGAGTTTTTTATTATTATTTCTGTGTTTAGGAGGAAACTCAGCTTGTTAATTAGAGGTCTGGTGCCTCGCTTTGGGAGAGCAGGACCCGATTCCTCATAAATACCTCCTGCTGTGTCGATGCGCCACAGCTCAATAGCATTGACTCTGGGTCGATGCAGCTGCAAATCCAGCCCAGCTATTGAGCAGGTGGGAGATGATATCGGAGGTCGCCAGCAAAGTGCCTTCCATCGCAAGGGCAGAGGGCCAGAGGCTCCTGGCAGCCTGGCAAGGGGAAGCTGGCTGCTTTTCTCAACAAGGAGGTTGCCGCCTGTGCCTGAGCCCCTCCGCAGACCCTCCAAGTGCCCCCATTTTCCAGGGACAGTCCTGGAATTACAGAAGCCATCCCGGTTTCTGATTTGATCCCAGAATGTCCTCCTTTTCCTTTTCCTTCCACATCTTGAAGAACAATTAAAAGTAGGGTGTATAGGTGCAAAAACAGAGTCTTGTTTGTACTGAAAATAAAATAACTCCAGGGTTTTGGGCAGGGGGCAGCTTGAGAGGCCAGGATTGGACCTGCAACATCAATCATTGGTTTGTTTGTTTGTTTGCCTCCCACCTTTCTCCCAGAACCAGGACTCAAGGCAGCTCACAAAAATTATAAACCAACATAGATAAAACACAGAAAGCAGAAAACCTATTTAGGATAATAGCTTAAAAAGTGATTAAACTACAATACAATCAAAATGATATGAAAGCCACTCTATTAGATGCAGAGAGTAAAACCGGCACAGCGCTGTTGAAAAGCCTTTCCTTAAAATACGGCCAGGTCCCAAAAGCCTGTCGGAAGACGCCTTGGGTCCCTTCCAGTTCTACCATTCTTTGATTCTAGGATTTCATGCGCAGCGCCACAAACCATCTGCCAGAGGAGGCACAGAACCGTCCCCTCCGCACCCTTGAGGGCAGCGAACGTGGGGCTGGCGTAACCTGCAGATCCTATACAGCTTGAGGTGCTTCAATTATGATGTACATTTTCAACAGGTCAGAAAAGGAAGCGAGAGGAAGTTGGGAAGGCGTCCAGCCGAGGGCCGGCAGACCTCCAGGGCTGGTGTGGGGTCCCCAGGTTGCCTGAGCCCCTTCAGCCACAGGGAGAGGTCCTGAATCTCCAGGGGAGTGAGAGTCTGCTTTTGTTTTCAGGGCACCGGTGACTTCCACAGACACCTGGTTGGCCACTGTAAGAACAGGATGTTGGGCAAAAGATTCCTGCATTGCAGGGGGTTGGACTAGATGACCCTTGTGGCAGAGCTGGGATTTTGCCCTGGGTGAAGCCTGTGTGTGTGTGTACACAAATGCACATGGAGGGGTGTGCCAAACTGGG